TCAATACGAGCAAAGTTTCAATAGGGGCTTCTAGAACGCTCATCCCTACAGCACCGAGTATGGCTTATGCACAAATCCAACATGACTACAGAACGTCACGAGTATGGAAATACAAACACACATTCCCGCCAACGCCATGTGTGGTTGGAAATGGCCACATCCTTTCTGAGGTAGAACTGCCCACCGCCAGCCTGCTATAAGGTTCTCAGCTCCTTCCATCTCATTGCACACTGCGTTAAACCTTCGGCCATATGTAAGAAGTGGACGGCATAGCCGATGAAGTTATTGGCGGTGTGGTCACCGAAGGTTTCCAAGCAAAGAGCCCGCTGACCCTGTCCCATTCGCCTGCTCTCATCCCACGGCAAGGTCAAAGTATTGTTTCGTCTGATTGGAGCTGAACGGTAGACCGCAAGTACAAGCTTGTGGCTGGGCGGGACTGATACCATCATTTTCCAACGCAAATTCGTATAATCCTTGCTCCTCTGTCACTAGCAATGCTTCTCATTCAATCTTAGCTTTTAGTTACAATGAAGAGTCTCATTTTGAGGGAGAACCTTTTTCGATGTGTCATTGATGGTGCAATCCCTGTCTTAGGCAGCCACCGCCCTCCAGGCCCTGCTTGGCCTTTACTGCAGCGTCCTGAGCCTGGACCGCACCACTCTACCATCCTTGACAATAGCTAATATGGCCTCCTCGGGGTTGTCCAATATCGAGATGTCATCCAACGGATTGCGCTCCATGATCAGAAGATCAGCCATGAATCCTTCCTTGACCTGGCCCAACCTGTCTTCCTGCCGGAGCAGCTTCGCGGCATTGACAGTCGCACTCCTCAAGACCTCGACCGGGCTTTGAACTCGACTGCGGATGGAGAATTCCTTGCTCTGCGCAAAGTGAGTGGGCCCCAGGAGGTCAGTCCCAAAGCACACCGTAACACCAACCTCTGTCGCCATTTTCAGCGTCGCAAGCCCGCGGTCCAGCACCTCAGTGACCTTGGCCTCGGACTCTGGTTCGAGGAAGTGTAATTCTTTGGACATGAAATGCGTTACAAGCGTCGGAGTTAGGAACGTCCCCTTCTCGGCCATCAGTTTGGCAGTTTCCAGATCGATCAGGTTGCCATGTTCGATGCCCCTGACACCCTGTCCAATAGCCTGACGGACGGCCTCGGTGGTGTAGCAATGGCTCGAGACATACGACTTCGCATTTGTTGCGGCAGTGACGATAGCTCTGATCTCTTCATCAGAGAACTGCAAGGAGTCAATTCGATCCGTCGGGCTGGCAACACCGCCGCCACCCATGATCTTGATAAAATCTGCCCCCTGTCGAAGCTCATCCCTCGCAACACGGAGACAGTCGGGCACTCCATCCACAATACGACTGATACCCGATACATCACCCCCGCAGCAGGGCATAGTATCGTGGCGGCCCCGCATGTCTCCATGCCCGCCCGTCTGCGAGAGTGCCTTCCCAGAGATGAATAGGCGAGGTCCTGGGTGGATGCCCTCCTCGATCGCTTCTTTCATGGCCAAAGTTGCACCGCCGCAGTCTCGGACGGTAGTGAAGCCGCGGTCCAGCATGGATTTGAGAACATTGGGCTGGCGGATCAGGCTTTTTGTCTCGGTCATGTCGCGGTACGAGGAAAGGGATGCTGCGCCAGGGGGCACCGCAATATGGACATGGCAGTCGATGAGGCCAGGGCAGACGTATTTTCCTTTAACGTCCACAATATTCTCGGGGTCAACGTCTAGCTGCGCCTCGCGGGAGGAGCCGGCCGGCTTAACAAAAACTATTCTGCCATCTTCAAGCGCGATTGAGGTGTTTTCCGAGGTGGTGCCGCTGACAGGGTCAACAATTTTGGCGTTCTCAATCAGATACCTCTTCTGGTTGGAGGGTTTCCACGGGATGATGTATTTAGAGATATCAAATTCATCGGACTTTTGGCGAGAGGTGACCATTGTCAACACAATGCGAGGGCTGACTCTATGTTCTCTTGGAAATCAAACTTGCGTGCCGCTTGATGTACGGGGAGATGGGCTTTGATCTTCGAGCAGGAACGAAATAATGATAGTTGCCTCAAGTGGTGCCTCATATCAAGACCTAGAGCTATGGCCGGTTTATGTATTTAGGCGCACCATGACTACCGGATAGCCGGATCTGCTGTTCCAAGAGTGTTACCACGCATGCGGAATCAAACTCCTGTTATTATCGCCTGCAATGGCGCGGTATTTCCAGCAGTGTCCTGCGCTGCCTAAGGCTGGCGGACGAAACCGACGGTTTGTAAAACATGTAGTGGGGATATTGGTGAGGATGTCTCAGAGTTAGTCGCCCCAGGCTGCCGGGAGTCTCGGCGTCATGTGAATCTCGGCGAAGAGTAGTCCTCACGTTCCTTCGGCTCTGATACTTTGTACTGGTTCGATACTCCCATGGAAATAGTCCTACTAGTGAGCGTCGCGCTGTTCTCTCCACGTCGTGCATGTTTTCTCCCATGTGCTCCCATTTTTGCGACCGATGAGCTCGCTTACAGCCTGCAGGGAAGTCGTTAGGTCCTGTGATCAGATCTACCTCACACATTCCACAACGTGCCTGCTCCACATCCTCGAGACATCGTGTTGTATTCCCAAATGCGGCAGAGAATCGACATATCTTACCCGAAACGTTTTCCCAAACTGACCCAATGGGGGACGTTAAATTTGTTCGGGGAGAGTCAGGCGAGTTGAAAACCGGCTTGACTGGCTTGTATCTGAACACAAGTTAACTAGTAACGCACGTGGCTTGTGAGCCTTTGGAGCTTGATCGTCACAGTCACAGCACGTGGAATTGTACATGGTCAGCATGGAAACTTAGCAAATGATTGAGACCAGCGTGTTTAGAAAAATTGCCCACCCAACTCGTGCAACGCCCGTCAATAAAACACGAGTGGCCTGGAAAGATCAGGGGTTGAGATACCAGAAAAGCACTTTTGGAGAAGCGATATAAATATTGGCAACGACCAATCGCACGTGCTAGGTCAGTACATGCTAATCTCGTGGTTCCTTTCCTTGCAATTCACATTCGTAAGCCTAGCTATTTGATTTGAACATTTAAGAAGTCTTTGAGTGTCATTGGATCAATTGCATTGGGAACGGTATACTCCATGTGTACTTCTTCTCTCGATATAAATGCAATCATGCAGAGGCATCCAGTGGAAACTCCTTCAGCAGAACTTCCATACCCTGAACCAGGTCCGCCTTCAGATCCTCCATGTCCTCCACTCCACAGCTCACTCGGAGCAGTCTTTTGTCGCAACCCGAGTCGCTCATATACCGCCATTCCATCAAACTCTCCACGCCTCCCAAGCTTGTTGCGTGTTGGAATACATACATTCGGCCCGGCATTCTCTTCGCATGTTCGGGACTCTTCATTGTCAAGCTAAACACAGCGCCAAAGCCACCGGGCATCTGATTCTGGAGCCAGCCATCGCTGAGAGCGTCCGTTTGCAAAGAGGCATGTCGGATCTCGGCAACCGCCTGGTTTACTACCGATCTGGATCGATGCATCTCTTGGAGTAGCCAGGCGACCAGGTTTGTGCAGGTCTGCGACTGCCGGGTCACGCGAAGTTGAAGAGTGCGTACGGATCGGATACCGAGCCATCCTTCGAAGCAGCCCATCACTGAGCCAATAATTTGGCGCTCCTTGTAAAGAGTATCGACCCAGACTTCCTTGACACGATCCTGACGGACGACAAGGATACCGCAGAGCATGTCGGAATGTCCACCAATGTACTTGGTGCCGCTGTGCATTACAACATCGGCCCCGAGTTGGAGTGGATCTTGAAGCGGAGGCGGCGCGAATGTAGCGTCGACACTGAGGTACGCCCCGGCTGTGTGAGCCTTCTCGCTGTAGTAGGCAAGGTTGGTTGCCTCGCCGGTAGGGTTGAGTGGCGTCTCGACATGAACGATGTCACCGGCTTGAAGTTGATCGAGATCCTCCAGGGTCAGCTTTTTGACCCCAGTCAATTTGGACATGATTTCAATAACTCCATGAACGCCGTGGTAGCCTTGACCGATAAAAACACGTTTGGGGTTGAGGCAGACCATCAATGCATGGAATGCTGAGAGGCCACTAGAGTAAGTGACGACATGGCCCCCAAAGACGTTCCGTAGGATCATCTCGAGTCGACTCGTGTTTGGGTTAGTGTATCGCGAGTAGACGTGAGAGTCCTCGGGAGCGTTGGGCTGTTTCGTTAGTTACTGATGCATAGCGAGTCTTGATGTAGTATGAGACTCACATCTGTGTTATCGCCCTGCTTCAGGTCATCCGCATCGCGAGCGTAGCGATAGTTTACCGCAACTTGCATTCCCGGCGCGATGGCACGGTGAGGGGTGAAGAAGTCATCCGAATGCACAGCACGCGTAGCCATTGACATGTTTGGGAGAGCATGATTAAGTGCGTCCGCTGTCAGCACCCAGTTGGCGGGTGCCTTGCTGTCCTGGTGAGATGCCATGGTTAGTTGGATAGAGATTGTGTGAAGTCGGAAAACCGAGCAGCAACTTGCTGGGGAAAGAATGAATGGTTCTTATGCAGTGTGCCGGTCCAAATCACTGACTCGATATTGAAAAGATTGCCACAAGGAACGATGTCAACGTCGTGGAGAGGACGCATTGCAGAAGCAGAAAGAGGTCGGGTTTCAGGTCGGGTTTGGACAGACCCGAAATAAAACGATGGGTAGAGATACCTATCTACGGCCAATCAAAACATCAGCTTGCCACAATCTTGGACGTGCATTGGGAGAGAAGTACGGAATCAAAGACTACACCTTCTGATTCGTTGATTACAATAGTCTATTTCCTAGCCTGATCGCCAGCAGTCAGACTACATGCAGTTAGGTGTACACTTTTAGACGCATGATTGTGACAACCTATTGAAATTGACCCTCAGTTGACTTCATATTTTGAGCTTCATGTTGTTTCGATACTTTCGATAAGTTACTTTTATAATCTGTTCAGAAGACGATGCGTGCCTACTCAAGGAATCTGGACTGTAACGCTTCCAAAAAGTTCGTTCTCCAATGGAGCAGAGTACCAAGTAGGCCACAACGCTTGATCCCCCAACAAAGCTACAGGATCAAAGTTTTCAAGGTCTTCTGAGTCACGAAGAGCGTCGTGGTTATCTTCGCCAGCGTTCATGGACTGCCCGTCTCCCTGTTCGGCCCCACGAATGATGGCCATGTGTTGTTCTGACCTGTCGACCGTCCTGAACTCGTGAGCCGATTGATGCAGGACTTCAAAGTCCAGGCGTGATCTGTGGCGATATCTATCAACATTTGAGTTCACCTGCTCAAACAATGTGGAGGCGTTTTGAATAGTTTGGATCTGCACAGCTTTAGTAATCAGGGCAGAAGACTTGGTCCCAGGAGATTTCTCACCCAACCCTCCCCGAGATCCCAAGCCTTTCGAAACTCCTTAAGATATGCAAGACCCATGTCCAGATGTTCTTTAGCTTTTGGGCTATATCCGGCTGTCATATTGGGAAAATGAAAAGCGTAAAGATTTAGATAACAGGCTGAGAAGCCACAGAAGCCAGGCACGGGAGTCATCATTGTCATGCCCCACTCAAGAGCGTCACACAGAATAGTCGCCACATGCGCTGCTGCTTCGAAGAGCTCCTTAGCACTGTTTTCCCAGTAACGCGGTGGTGCCTCAGCTTCGAGAAACGGGGGATCTGTAGGGCCTTGCGGTCCCGCATGCGGTTTTGGCAGGAAAGGGAAGTATTCCCTATTGAGCATCAGGACGCTGAAACAGACGTCAGTCAGAAGCAACAAGCAAGTGGAGGTGAGAATGCAGCTCACCAATGATAATAGAGCAGGTTGATGTAGACAAATGCTCGGCAGCCGGTATTCGCATGCGATGCGACACTGTGTTTTGGGTAATACAGACAAGAGTCCATATTACTTCGCCATCTTTCCAGGGATTGCCGACACTTCGCCCATTTTGAATCTGGCATCCAGGGGCACTCTGCGGGCGCACACATCCCGGGCGCTTTCCGTCCATCATTGTACACGAATGTCATGACGTCTGCATAGATTGCGAACCCGTCAACGAGGACCTCGTAACACTCTTCTATACCCAGGGGCAAGCTTCGGTCGGTCATAGGCTTCTGCTTGAATCCGAATAGAAACCCGCTGGCGGGTGGCGCTCGAGGAACTTGGAGCTTGATCATTTCGGCCATAGATAGCATACGAGGGTTGTACGTTCCTGAGTTGATTGTGCAGTCTAATATGAAGCAAGCCCAGTAGGTTGCAGTTTCAACGATCTGGGACAGCTCGTCGGGCTTCTCAACGTTGATAGTCTCATCAAGAGAAAACGGGGCTGTTCGAGCGCTATGCAGAGATTGCATGATTCTAATGCCGATGCCTGGATTGAAGGTTAACACAAAAAGCCTTCATTACAATCCTTCCATCTTGATAGCATACCACAGTGCACCCAGGCTTTTTGGAAATCTCTCACACCCCATTCATACAGCGTCAGGATAAGGTGGGCTTGAACAACAACAACTTCTGGGGGCCCGAGCATGGCGTTTGAAAGCACACCGCGAGAGAAAGACGCATACTCTTCGCTTGGAAGTAGCTGATTCATCCAAAACCCATCGATGTAGCATTCTTCCTTCTTTATTGCTGCAAGCAAAGCTGCCAGCAAGGCTTTGCTATTGGCCTTGCGATCCGATAGGAATAAGCGGGAAAATAGATCGGGATGTAGCATGTTCATCTCAGGAAAATTTGTTCTAAAGATGTGCAAGGACTTTATGATGATGCTCATGGGAAGCATCCTCAAGTGGCCGTCTACATCATTGCTGGGCAATATTCTAAGCGCTGGTGTCTGAGGAGCTCCCGAGGCTCCTGGGGCTTGAGTTTCCGTCCGTTAGCAGAACTCGGTCTAGATATGCAAAGATCAACTCACCCGGCGCTGTAGAGGGTTCGATGTCTGCAACTCGAGCACGTGCAGCAGCGCGCCTGATCGGCTTGACGCGAGGCCGCGAAAGCTGGCAATCTGGGTATCCAAACTTGTCGCACCGCTCGCATGGTGGCATGCCGCTGTGGATGCACCTAAGTTTCGATTTGCTATAAATATTACGTCAGAAATCAGAACAGAGAACGTGGGAGATTTCGCTACCGGCAAGCTTCGCAAGAAACGCTGGTTCGCATTTCGGAAATGATTGGGGTGAGTCGTAGTAGGGGTGAAGTTGAGAAGAGAAACTGATTTGATACCCGAGCTCATTGCCGACCAAAACCTCCAAACCCGATCTGACTAATCGGGAATGGCGCAGAAACTCGATGCATGATTGGTCACTAGCATAACTCTGCTTATCGCCGTATCGCAGGCTGGCTCTGCAAGATTCGAATGAGATTGTGAATGAGTGCGCTCTCATACTAAACTGCTCCAGCCATACTCCCTTCAACAAATTGCTCTGTGAATATTGATAGCATTTCTTCAAATTTCCTTCCGAAGTTGTTACGACTAACTGCCCCAATGCTGCTTATGGTCTTACTTGCGTTGAGTCCGAGCACTTGACTTTTTGGTCTTTGGACTGTACGGAGCATCAACCAGCTCAGAAATATCCCCCTGCTCTTTAGTCCAATGATCCAGGCCTACCTACATCTCAAAGTGATTTGGAAACTATGGTCAGATCTCCATCAGCGAATCCGCTGCATGAGAGGTGAACAGAGTCAACTCGGCATCCTCCACTTGTGTTGCATCTTACTTTTGGTAAACTTGAGGTGCCTCGACCAAATCAAGCTGACGAAGGCACTTTAAGCGATTGTCGGGTATACTGTGTTTAGGTTGCTTCAGAATGAATAGCTGAGCACCATTGGCTGTGTAAATCTCAAGCAAGTTTCCAGGTCAAACAACCCCTCTTCCAAGGCGGGTCTCGGTGAATTACAACCTCTCTCCTACCCAGGAACCCCTCTTGTTCATGCCACTGTCAATCAGTCATCAACAAGTTACATTGCGTCGCCCCGCCGGCGGGACAACTCTACCTAGTGCCGCAGCATCTCTCGCAACATCCGCGTTTTCCGGGCCCTTTGTCAAAAAGCCGCCGCCGACCGGGACCGCCAAGCCGGTGACTTTCTCGCCGGGGACCCCCCGTGGACCTTTTGCTTGTCGTATCCCATGCGCTGCGCAGTCTCCCCGTCTCCACCAGGGACCGCTTGAATAAGCTTTTTGATTCTGCCCGTCCCCGGGGTAGGCGACCAGGTTCTCCGTTGTTCACTGAGACGATTCTGTCAGATGACATGCCATTCGGCTCCATCGACAGAGAGACAACAACGGCGTGCGCACAGTACGAGGCCTTCGTAATTGGTCACTCAATAAGCTTCCCGTTTGCATGTGAAAGCTGCGATACCCACTGTAACGTCAAGCTGAGCACTTTCTTTCTGGATAATCAGAAACGGTAAGTCCTTCGTCCCATGCGATTTGTAGGTTTCAATAAGCACTGGCGAAACTTTGAGGAGGCATGCTCAGCTGCGCTTGTAAGGGTCAGGTCAGCGGATCAAGCCCGACGGATGGAAATGATGTGCTGTGTAAGGAACAAGTGGTAGAGAAGTTGGTAAAACTTTTTCGTTGTTCAATTTCAAGGGCTGCCTATGCCTGGGCCATGCTATCTGGGGTGTCTTGAGCTCCATGGGTAGTTCTCTCTGCATGCCGTGAAATGCCGTCTCCCAAACTCCGACTCCGATGCCGTGGGCCGTGAAATACAATCCAAATTCTATAGATGCACGCAACGCGGAGATGCGCAAAACAAGTGAGGTCCAATCTCTTTCATCAACGTGACAGTTCATTTCGGGTCTTCTGGCGTGGGTTTTGTGGAGGCTCAGTTCCTGGGCTTGAGCACCACCTTCCAGTGACCAGTCGCAAATTGCATGGTGATGTACTGGCGGAAGTCAATGTCCTGTCCAGGAACTTCGAGAACGTCGAATCTCTGAAGCAGGTTGGCTGCGACCATTCTCATCTCGGCCCATGCAAAGCTAGAGTTCTGTCAGAATAAAGATCGACAGCAGAGGGGAAAGCATAAACTTACTTGATACCAATGCAAGAGTGCTTGCCTCCAGAGAAGGGGTAGTAAGCATCCATGCTAGTGCAAATGTTAGTCGCTTCTGGAATTTTCTGGACAGAACCCAAATGCCAAACTACTTACTCGGGAGCGGGAGCACCTTCCCGCTTGTCCTCGGCCAACCATCTCTCGGGCCAGAAACGCTCAGCCTGGGGCCAGAACTCCTCGTTGCGGTGCAAGTCGCGGTATGAGGCAGAGACGACGGTGTGAGGAGGGAGGTCGTAGCCGCAGAGGTTGACCCACTGGTTGCCGGTGCGGCGGCCCATCTCAGAAGCGATGGGGTGCAGGCGGAGGTTCTCCTTGATGCAGGCCTCGAGGTATTCATACTCAGGCTCGCTGCGGACTGCTTTGCTGGTGACGATTTCGTCGTTGAAGCCCTTGGAAGGGAGCGAAGCGAACAGCTTGGCGCGGACGTCGGGGTTGCGCGCCAACTCGAGGAAGAGGCAACCGATAGTGCCGGATGTAGTCTCTGAGCCGGCGAGGAGAATTTCTGCCATCTGGTCGACGATGTCACGGGCGTTCATGGTAGTACCGGTGTCCGGCTTCTTTCCTTCCTCGATCAGGTGCTGGAGAAGATCGCGGCGTTCGATATCGTGTGTGCGTTTGCGGCGTTGGACGACGGCGTCGATAGCGGTAATCATCTCGGCGGGCCAGTCGAATTGAATATCGATGCCGAATGAACGGAAGAACTTCTTGACGTAGACGGTCTGCAATTCAAGTCAGACAAAGATAATTGCTGGGAAGCTTTGGAAGTGTAGGACGTACTTGGTATCTCTTGCTAAGACCATCGAAAATGGAGCGGGGAATGGACTTCCAGATTCTCTCGTCGACACCGTCTTCGATCATACTGTCTGGGTTGGTCTGGCCAAAACCCTTTCCAAAGGAACATTCTCCCATACTGTTTTAATTTAGCAGTGAAGCTTTGACTGAGGATGTCTTTTGCAACCTACATATCAAGAGCAACATTGTGAAGATCGTCCATCAAGTCAACTTCGATGCCCTTCTTGGCATAGTAGACGGGGTCGGCGTTGATCTGCGTCTGGTACTTGTTGAGGAGATCACGAACAGTCGTCTTGAAGAACATCTCGAGATTGTCGATATAGTTGACCGTGAAGGCGGGTGACAAGAAACGCTTAAGGCGCTTGTGCGGCTCGGGGCGGCTGTAGAGGTAGGACTTAGTCTTGGACCATGCTGTCGTAGGATCGCGTAAACACTTACATTTCACCAAAAAGACCAGGGCTGAACTTGTCACGAGAAATCTCAGCGTACATGGCAACCTTGGGGAGATCGGTCTTGACCAAAATGGTCTTCATGGCCTCCTTGTCTGAGATCCAGACCTGACGAGGTCCGAGACGCACAATGCCTCCATACTTCTTGTGACTTGTTTGCACCAACTTCCAGATATTTCCAGTAGAGAAGAGGTATTGGAGGTGAAGGTTGGTCAAAGGGGCGTACCATGGACCCGGGACCTTTCTAAGAGGGGACTTGTAGTTGTTGATCTTGTGCTTGATCTGAATACCGGCAAAGATGACTACCGCGAAATAGATCGCGATCATGTAAGCCGAGGCCATGTTGTCTGAGACTTAGACAGATGATGTCCAAGTCAATGCTTTCAATCTCAATGAAGTGAACGACTGACAATATGGGATGATGGGTTTTGAAGTACTGGACCAAGCGAGAACGAGTGATCAATGTGAGAGACACTGACACTACTTGTACCAGAGCCGACAGACGATCACTCATGGCATAGTCCAGCCGGACCTTCCACTCGGTATTGCCAATATAGGATGAACACTCATTACTTTCCTCCCGCCGGACTGCTTTCAATACCGTCTTGCGTGCCTCTACAAGCCAACCCAGGCCGGAGCATACGGCCGTGGCCCTGGGTCTCGAAGCTGATGCGATTTGCACGACTCAGGCCCTATCCAGTATTCGCACCTATGTGAGGCTGTTGTGATGCGCGGTTTCAACCCGTGTGAACTCTATTAAATTAAGTCGGACGACGGGGTAGCTGCCCCATGCTTCCTGGAATCCTGGGAGGATGTACGGTGGTGTGCATCTCCAAGCCCCAGCCCGAGGAGCTGGCGCGAATCGGGAGGTCCAGATTCGGGTTGACATGACTGGGCTTTCCTTGACTAAGCGCCTGCGTGTCATGCGATGAAGAGACAACATGGGGGATATGTTGCATTCGATTTCTGAAATCTCACGTATTGGCTGTAAACTTTGTTCAAGATCGGAAAGACCCATGTTATCCGTACAGGAGCCCGTACGGTCGCTCATCGTGTTCTGGTCTAGGCAGTTTCCCAAAACGGCAACAAAAGCACGTTATTGACAGAAGGCCCGCGGCGCGGCGCAGCGTACGTAACTTGATTAACGACCGTCGGGCTCGGCCTGCAAAACTTCTCAGATAGTCGCCGACAAATTGCGTGTTCACAGTTGAGCCATAGTTTCAAGTGAAATTCCAGCCTTGGCCAGCCATTTTGTCTAGATTTTCTTTTGTCTCCGCAACTAATTCTAATGCTTGCCACTCTCTAGCGAACTCTAACTCTTGCGGAGTTGAACCAAAAAAAAGTCTATGTCTATCACTTCGTCTATTTGCGTCTAAAATCAAAAGGAGGGTTTTTTTGTGAGTTGCTTGTGGCAACTCTCTATTTGGCCCATCTCATGCGGCCAGGGCAGGTCGGGTCGTTCTCGACATACTTGAGAGTGCCGAAGACAGACCAGAGCTGGCCCAGGAAGCTGCGCTCATCGGAGTGGTACAGGTCGCCGAGGAGGGGCTTGATGGCCTCAGTGGCCTCATCGGCCTTGTAGAAGGGAATGCGACTGAGCGATATTAGCAATGAGAACTTATCGGTGTTTCAACTGAGGGGCCAATGATCTTACGGGAAGAGGTGGTGAACGACGTGCTTCTCGATAATACCGTGGAAGAGGTGCTTGCCAACGAATCCGAAGTCGCGGTCAATGGTGGCCAGGGCACCCTTGACGAAAGTCCAGCCGTCCTCGTTGTAGTGGTAGACGTCAGGGTGGTTGTGGTGGAGGTAGGTGATAGCAACTGAGGGGTATCGATTAGCACTCTATCAAACGCGAAAACGCTCGAAAACTCTAATGAGTTCCGGGGTGAAGAGTAGGGAAAAGGGGTTAGTGCATACCGAGCCAGTGGTGGACCCAGAAGTACGGGACGGCGTAAAGGAGGAGAACAGTGGAGACGTCCAGGATCTGGGCGGCCTTGTAGAGGATGGAGAGGGTGATGGCCAGGCCAAGGTCGGAGATGGCAATGAAGATAGCCTCATTGGGACGGAAGACGGCGCTGAAGGGGTCGAAGTGGCTGACGTTGATCCAGCGTCCAAGAGCGCTGACCTCACGCTGCTTGCTGCCCTTGCCGGCAGTGGCGTTGAAGAAGAGGTACATCTGCCATCCGAACAGCTGGTGGCCAAGGAGGTTCATGAGCTGGAGGATGGGGGTGTCCTCGAAGAGCTCGTGGAGGTCGATGGCACCGAACAGGGGCTTCTTGGAGGCCTTGGGCTGAGTGGCGGGGACAAAGGCCATGTCCTTTTGCATGTGACCGGTGAAGCGGTGGTGACGGTGGTGAGAGAACTTCCAAGAGAAGTAGGGGACCATGAGGGAGGAGTGGAGCACCCAGCCGACCACGTCGTTCAGCTTCTGGTTCTTGGAGAAGGCACCATGGCCGCACTCGTGACCCAAAATCCAGACACCAGTGCAAACGAGGCCCTGAACGAAGCCGTAGATCATCCAGGCGGCACCGCGGACGATGGGGTCCTGGATGGCGGGGATGTAGGTGAGAGCAGCCCAGACGAGGGCGGCCACCATGGAGTAGTCACGGAAGACATAGTAGAAGGATGTCCACAGCGAAGGCTCAAAGCAGTGAGCGGGAATGGTGTCCCTGATGGTCTGGATATCAGGGTACTCAGGCTCAGAGGTCTTCTGGAATGAGGGTCAGTTTGGTTCATCGATCGAGATCGCGATCCGGAAGGAGGCTCCCGACTAACCTGCTGGGGCTTCTCGACCACCGCGGTCGTGGTACGTTGACGAGCCGCCATTGTGTGTGACAGGTGCAACCTGGGATGTTTGAGATGCTTCTGTCTATAGGCTGGCGTATATGAGATGAACAGAAGTCTCCTCAGGTTCAAGGCTGAGAAAGAAAGTGAATGTCGACGGAGCAAAGGCACCAGATGAAGCTGGGGGAAGACGGAAAAAAGGTGAAAATTCTCGCTTGCCCGAGGTAAAATGGGTAGGTGCGATTATCGCTTTTGCGGAAGGGGGGGATGGAGAAAGAAAAAAAACTACGTACTGCGTAAGGGACTTGGCTGTCACCGCCACGGCACATGCAACGACGTGTCTTCTCCTTGTTCTTTTTTCGTTAAGGGACCCAGCGCCAACCTAGACGGCAGTGGGTCAACGTCGGTTCCATGGTCAGGGACGTGGACGATCTGCTGAATAGGGGTCCAAACAGTCTGGACTTTGTTGCCCACATGCATTGCCATGGGCCGGCAGAAAAAAAATTACGATGGTCAGTGTGCCAATGGCAAGTGTTTGGAATCGCGCGAGTGTCAGCCAAAGACGTGACTCGCGGCCAGGACCAACCTTGTGGCCGCCGGCCGATAGCCTCGCAGAGCCTCGGGCCAGACGTCTTCCGCAGTGCACTTCATGACTCAAATTGGTTCAGTACAAGCCACCTCTTCTTTGTCCTCTGCAAGAATTACTCAGGAGAAACGCTGAAGAGCTCGGAGCCGCGTGGTGGCGCGGCGACCGCCTGCCCGTTCCGTTTGTCTCTTGATGCGTTGTCCCTGAGGATCCAAAACTGACTGCGACACTGCAACATGCACACACCGTATATCGCAAAGATAGAGAGAGAGAGAGAGAGAGGCAACCCACACTTGCCCGCCTTTCGCAGGCGGTGAGCAACGCTCTCTCACTCTGTTGAGACCCGCGGATCTGTCGTGCTGTTTTGAATCTTTCGATCCATGCATATCCAAGAAGAGGCTTCCTCGGTTAAACAGGGCTAAACGCAATCAGGCCTAGCGGGAGAAGATATGCCAGGGTTCGGCTCCACGTGCGAATTGCAAGAGGCTTGGAAAACCCACAAAGAAGGCACCCTCAACCCCAACACTTTTACCCCTGGCTCTCTGCGACTTCGTACGGAAAGATTGACCCCCACTCTGTGTTTGAGCTTGAACCTCGTTTAAACGTCTCTTCCAACGCGGGTGGGTGGTGGCCACAGGACCCTGAGAACCCCTCCTTCTGCTGTTGACAGAGGGTTTCTTTTGGGCAGACTTCATTGGCCAATTCTTGCGACTCTCTCTCCATCTTCTCCAACCGCCCCAAGACCCCAAACCGAACCGCGTGTCCCCAAGTGTTCTCAAAACAAGGGACCGTGCGATAACGTCGCGACCCACTCGGGGAAGATCGGGTAAGAGGGGGGAAACTCGGGGACGGATAGAAAGGTTCAGACAGAGACACCACAAGCCATGGGCTCCTCGGATTCATATATCTGCGCAAACTCTCCCTTTCGTGGCGTCTCCAGCTGCGCCCACGCCGTTACCTATCCCAAGTTGCCCATCACCATCAAGCCTAGGCGCAAGGGTAGGGCGCACGGGAATGTCGGCGCACGGTCGCTGAGAGATTCCAGCGTCAGTGATCCGGCGCAATCAAAAAAGCTTAAACGGCTTCTTTGTGGGTTTCTAGAAATGAGGCTGCGAGAGACAGGCTTCTAGGGCAAACCTACAGTGTATTTTCATCTCCTCGCCGACTTCCGTCCACTTCGTAAATCAGTCCATTTTGCGAGTTGATCCTCTTTGACAATAGTCACAAGTCCCTGCACCTCTGAACTCTATCTGTCGTAACGCAGAACACAACTGAGGATATCCATGAATGATGGCGGACACCAGGGCAACACTCAGCCTCCGACAAAGGCCGGGTACGGTCGTCCATCTGATAATTAGGGAATGAACCTTGACCACCTGTCTCATTTCCGCTGTCATGGACCAGAGTCGTTTTCGGTGATTTATCAGTTGAAGCTGAATGTCGACTTTGCAACAACCCTAGAACCAAGTAACTCGACTCAACGGACCTACAGACCAACATGACAGTTCCCAAGGTGAACGGAGCCGGCAACAGAGACCTCGCGGAACTCCTTGAGTTCGTGAGGTTGAACTCATCATACTATGCCGAACTTTGGGAGTCCAGGGGAGTCCAGAAAGAGGCAACAGTCTCACTCAGGGACTTGCCTACAGTTGATCATGAGTCTTTTTGGGAATCCAACACCTGTCTCAACAGCCAAGTCATAACGTCAAAGCAGAAAGATGGTATTATTTTCAAAACGGGAGGTAGGTGATCATGAAGTAAGACGGGTTGAGGCTCCGACTCACTAGTCTTTAGGCACAACCAATCACCCCAAAGTCTCATTCTACGACCAAAAGGAATTTCATGGTCTTTCAACGCAGTTAGCAGAGTCGCTGGCGCGATGCGGTGTTCGCGAAGGAGACATGGTCGCCAACTTATTCTACGCCGGCGACCTCTACGGCAGTTTCTTGCTTCACATCCTGTCGGTGTATCACCTACCGTGTGGCGCCATTCAACTCCCAGTCGCTGGACATGTCGGTATCCCATCAATGGAGAGACACATCGTTGAATTCGAGGCCACAGTCGTTCTAGCCACAGTCACAACAATGTCGCAGCTGGCAGAACGCATCCTTGAAGCTGAAAAGACTCACCCCTCCGTGCGGCTGCTCTTGTTCTCCGGCGAGGCATTTTACGACGATCAAGCGGGACTCTTGAAGGCAGCCTTCCCCAACGCAACTATCCGATCCGTCGTTTACGGCTCCATGGACTGCGGAATCATTGGTCTACCGCCAAAGCCCGAGGACTACAACAACGACCCCCGTCTTCACCAAGTCAACAGCCCCAACATCATCGTCGAGATCGTCAACGACGACGGCGAGGTCACGACGACCCCCGGCGAGCCGGGCAGCTTGGTCGTCACGAACGTGGAGCGCCGTCTGATGCCCATTATCCGCTACCCGTCCGGCGATCGAGCCGCGTGGGTTGATCCAGCGCTTGGTCTTTTCCGCGTTCTTGACAGGGACCGCACGGCCATCCGCCTCGGCCCCGTCTCCATCGACTTTGTGGACCTGAGACGCATCGTCTCGACGGTTCTCAAAGACAGACCGGTGGGCAAGATTCAAGCCGTCGTCACGCGCGAAGACAGGAAGGACCTTCTCACTTTGAACGTCGCATTTAAGCCGACCACAGACGAGGAGAGTTCGCAGTTGCAGGCAGGGCTGAGAGGAGAGCTCGGGGTGGTGCGGCCGATGTTTCGGGAACACGTCGAGAAGGATTTAGTCAACGAGCTGAAGGTAAACTTTGTCACCATGCAGGAACTCGCTGTCAATCCTAGGAGTGGAAAGATCGCCGAGGTGCTTGACCTTAGGTCAACTACAGTATAACCTTTACAGAGCTCCCACACCAAGATACCTAAAGTTTAGAGTATTGCGTGATCAGACGTCAATTTAGCCAGCCATAACGTTTTGTTTGATTGGTCGCAATACAACACGAATTATGAGCACGTTAAACGGTCTTGGCATCCTCTTGCTTGGGAATGTCAATGAAATAAGCTTTCGTTCTCGCCAAGAGTCGGTGGGACGCTCTTGACACTATTCAGTCTGGTGCATTGGTCGTAAACCCACGCGCGACAGGCGCCCAGGCCCAAACGGATATCGTAGCCCGGGACATATCAGGACCCCGCTGGTTGTCTCTTTGACGCGGAGGAGCTCCCCTGTCGCTCCCAGCCCCGGACGAACCGGTCGGTAGTCACTCAATTGCGGAGATATCCAAATTGGGCCCATCGTGGATACGCGCTTGACTCGCGTGGACCCTGCGCTCCCTCGCATTGAAGGCGCATCGACTCTGATACAGACTGCACATGAAAGTGCTGCTGCGGCCACAAACTCTACTGTGTAGTAATCTCGCAACGCTTTGGCAACCAGTTTTACTGCGGCGTTTCCCGCCTGCATATTTCTTCAAAGTGATCCCGATAGCAGAGAATCCGAGTATCAGACCGTTCATGCCCCCCAGCCACCTTCGCCTCCCGTGGATCGCACGTCTATCCAGTAGCATCTAACACCATCTCGTAAAACCGAGCACAGCAACGTCGCAGCATGTCCGCCAACCATACCAGGTCACCGAAGCCAGTGCTCCCAAACAAGGGACGCACGGCGGTTGGCACCCTCGCTCCGTACTGCCCCGAACCTCCCCCCTTTTCTACCTCCGTTCCCAAGCTGACATCCAAGCCCGAGATAGGTGGGGCGAGCCGGCGTGGTTCAACGCTCTTGAAAGCCCATACTATAATGACTCTCACCGGAGGTTCCAAGCATACGTGCGGGATTTTGTCGACACCCACCTGCTGCCATACGCACAGGAGTGGGAGGCCGCCGGCGAGTGCCCCTTGGCCGCCAGACTGCAGTTCGCCAAGTCCGGTCTTGCTTTCCTGGACGTGCCCAGGGAGTACCGGCCGAGGGAGCTCATGACAATCGCGGGGATCCCATTCGACGAGCTCGACGTCTTTCACGAGCTCATCCTGATGGACGAGATGGCCCGCATCCCCAGCGGGGTGCCCCTCGCGCTGGCGGGGGCGTCGAATGTGGGTGCCCCGCCTATCTGGACGGCGGGGACTGAAGAACAGAAGAGACGGTGGCTGCCGGGGCTTTTCACATGGGAGACGAGCTTCTGTCTTGCCATCACGGAGCCGACGGCCGGAAGTGATGTGAGCGCGATACGAGCCACTGCTCAGAAGACTGCCGATGGGAAATTTTACGTTGTCAACGGGCGTAAGAAATGGGTTACCGGCGCGCCGTGGGCGACTCATATGACTACCGCTGTACGGATGGGTGAGCCTGGTCGAAGTGGCATTTCACTTCTAGTGGTGCCTCTGAACTCGCCGGGTATCACGATCAGGAAGATCCACAACTCCGGCCACAATGCGGGCGGCTCATCGTGGGTCATTCTGGAGAACGTGAAAGTTCCGGTCGATCAGTTGCTGGGGAAAGAGAACGGCGCCTTCCCCATCATCATGCGCAACTTCAACAAAGAGCGTTTCATTTTGACGGTGGACTGCAATAGGCAAGCCCGAATTTGTCTTTCGGAAGCGCTGCAGCATGCGCACGATCGCGAGACATTCGGAAAGCCGCTTGCCTCCCATCAAATTATCCGCCATAAGCTCACCACCATAGCGCGTGAGGTTGAAGGGCATTGGGCTTGGTTGGAGCAGATAGCATACCACGTAAAGATCCACGGCTGGCAGACGAAGGACGTCGCCAGCAGAATCGCGCTTGCCAAGATCCAGGGCGGCAGAATGGTTGAACAGGCCGTCAGGGAAAGCCAGCAGATACACGGCGGAATGGGTTTCGAAAAAGGCGTGACAATGACCGAGCAAATCTCACGCGACCTGCGTCTGAAAGTCATTGGCGGGGGAAGCGAGGAGATCCTGAGCGATCTTGCATGGCGGGAAGAGCACAAACGGGCTTCAGGCCTAGGCGCAAAACTCTAGGCGCGTGGAAGGTCTGCGTCGAACAAGCTTAAAGAGAGTTTATGTAGCCCTGAATCATTTTTTTTCCCTCTCACGGTGATGAATTAGTTGCCAGTCTCGGATGCTCGGCTTCCCTAGCCGTCGACAGTGGTTCGATGAGGAATTGCGAGTCATTAGTTGACGGCTGTCTAGGCCTTGGCCTTCCGAAGACGTGGGCAACTCGAACCCAAACATCCACGTGTCGTCCGATATGCTCTGCAAAATGTGACAAAAATATTCGTTTGAGAGTTGTCCAATCTCAAGCTGAAGGTTCCAAGGGCAAAGTCTAAAATACGCCTCGAGATCGCCTACGCGTTGTGGTACGTGGTTGACAGTTGAACAGGCAGCTCCCCCTGTCCACACCAGCCTCGGAACTACCCAGAACCCCGCATAACGAAACCGAGGCAACTCCATCCAAGTAACCCCTCACCCAAGCTATCATTCGAAATTTTGTTCACCGCAAGTGTCATGCTTGACTGACGATCGCGCTCAATGCCCTCCCTTTCGCCATGACATCCGAAGCCGTCAAGTCGCATCCGGAATACCAACACTTCGCATCCATTCCATGGTGCGCAAAAGTCCTCGCCAAGTTCGACTCGCCCTCCCACGTTGTCCAAGTATCGGCGAATAGGACAATCTTGCCAACAAAAGAGAATTCATATGTTGGCGGGACTCTCAACACACCGAACACCATCACCGCTTGGCTTGTGCTGCACCCGCGGCCACAACCGCCAGACTGGAAAGTCGACGAGTTGTGTTCGCTGATTACCCTGAAAGATGGCATGATCGGCTTTCCCGAGGCAGCTCATGGGGGCGCCGTTGCGTTGATTTTGGACGAAGTCACGGGCATGACGATTGTGGCGCAGAGACCAGAAGGCGCGGAACCCAACAAAGACTTCCGAACGGCATATCTGAACACGACGTTTCTCAGGCCGGTCCCTGCGCCGGGCACGATTCTTGTCAGGTCCAAGATCTCCAAGATCGAGGGGCGGAAGAACTTCGTCAGTGCGCAGATAGAAGATCAGAATGGAGAAGTTCTGGCCAAGGCAGAAGTTCTGTACATCTCGATACGAACCAAGTTGTAGAACAAACAACTTTATTTGGACATGGTATTGAAGGGCAGGGTTGGCGTTGCATACAGGTATTCTGCTCAGAGGACGAGTCAATCAATTTGCCCTTGCATTCATAGACTTAGAGACCAAAGCATTTGGGGGCGATAGAGACAATTGATCGATTCCACTCAACGCATCCCGAAAACTGGCTGAAATAATGATAGTTGCGATAGGTTTGCTTGGTCAAGTCTAAAAGTTGTGAACCAACAACTTTGACTAATTCAAATCACCCTCTATGCTGGAGGCCTTAATATTCCGGGTCTCATCTTAAAAGGCGCCAGTAACTTCATGGCTGTGCTATTTGAGCTCATTCTGTTGCTGAACAACGAAGGTCCGATCACTGAGCAGACAGTTTTGGTGAATGTCAGTCACGTTGGCTCTTATCCGGGTTTGATACCGCCTAATACATCAATGTCTGATTCGCTAGGAACTATGAAACCAGTTTATCTGCATCAATATACGATAGCCCAAATCAGCTATTTAAGTCCGGACAAGCTCTATGCTCAAAAAGACTACCTCGACATGTGGTCTGACCCACGTACGCTCCTCATTTTTGCCCGTTTGCTACTAGATGTCGCTACAAAGGTGTTCAATTGATCAGCCTAACACATACGACATGATGGCAAAGGTTTCTCGAAAATTCGTGTCTTGAGTGACGTCTGATTTGTTGTATGAAAAATGCTTAGTCGAAAGGGGCGAACTTCTAATGTTGGTTGTGGGGGTAATCCGAGCTCATCGTGAAATTTTCATTGGATGAAGTGTGGCAATACTGGACCGGCCCAACCCACAAGCGGACCGCCCCGCGTACAACATCACGCCAGTGGAAGCTGGAAGGTACCTCAAAATAGTTCTAAAACTAGATAGGACCACATGGGCTGATAAATGCGACTGTCGCTTACAAATGGAGACGCGATGTCCGTGGAAATAACTCCTACATGGACGATAGCTCACCGTACAAGCATATATCATGTGTAAAACCACTTGTGTCAAGATATGTGAGATCCAGAAGAATACAAGCAAGCAGAGAGTCCTCTGAAACTACTATCATATTTCTTTCGCTTAGCCTGACAACAGTATTTAGCCTACTCATCAACTCATCGTTCACGGACCTGCCCGACTGCAAGTCTACATCCCAAATCGCAACCATGACTCTGCCCTACAACAAAGTTCTTCTCGTCGGAGCCACTTCTGGCATTGGTGCTGCTCTTGCGGACAAACTCGTGGAGAACGGCATCTTTGTCATTGCTGCGGGAAGACGAAAGGAGAACCTGGACAAGTTCGTCGCCAAACACGGTACCCACAAGGCCACAGGAGTACCCCTTGACATTCTCAAGCTTGATTCGGTAAGCTAAATTGGACTCCAACCCACTAAGTCTTCGGTCTAACCTCACCTTATAGATCCCGCAGTTCGCAGAGTCGATCATCAAGGAACACCCTGATCTAGACTGTGTCTTCCTCAACGCCGGAGTCCAACGAGGCATCGACTTCACGACCCCTGAATCTGTGGACCTTGACATTGTATATGATGAGCTCTTGGCAAACTACCTTTCCCATGTTCATCTCACCAAAGCCTTCCTGCCGCACCTCCAAAAGCAGAACAAGCAAACGGCTTTGCTGTACACCACCTCTCAACTCGGTCTCATCCCGATGAAGCGCTGCCCCAACTACAGCGGCTCGAAATCTGCCATGCATGGCTTCATTCTCGCACTCAGAGCCCAGCTGAAGTCTAGCGCCAGCAAAGTCAAGATTGTCGAGGTGTACCCTCCAGCAGTCCAGACAGAGCTCCACGATGCCAAGAACCAGCCGGACTTGAAGAATGGGCATGAGATTGGCATGCCCGTAAATGAATTCGTGAATGAGGTTTTCGAGAGATGGGTCGGCGGAGAGGAGCAGATTCCTGTTGGAACCGCTAAGCCGATGTTTGAGGCTTTTGAGAACAAGCGGCAGGAGTACTTTGGCACCTTCAACGCCCAGATGGACGAGGTTCTGGTTGATTTTACGGCATGAATAGCTAGATTGTCAGCGATATTGAAAAGTTAGTTTAGAGGATAGAGGCAATGTGAGTGTTTCAGTTGCACCAAAGACACCATCAATAGTAGGCAATATCACCGCAACATGTCGCATTCTTAGTCTGATGCAGAGGTTCTGCAATTTGAGTTCATATGATCTATTTGACCTTAACTGATAATTGTGCGAAATAATCGTCTCCTAAGTTCATTAGGCTTGATAGGTACATGAACTAAACCTTCCTCCATGTTATGCAGTCTTTCAAAAATGTCAAAGAAGCCGACCGCGAGGCCCCTTTCTCACCACCTTTACTGCGGTCAGACGGTGCTATAGTCACCCTATGTTCGCGTGAAATTGCAGAGGAATCGACCTTTCCATGTCCTACCTTCCAGCCTCGAAGAAGAACCAGGCAGAAAGCTGCTGCAATGTACATGAAGCCGGTGAATAGCTGTGATCCAAGATAACTTCCAGTCCCAGAGTAGATTTGCAAGGCAATTGGCTCGCTGAACGTTGCAGGTAGCACCATGCTCAGCCACATCAGGTTTAAGCCAGACGGAACATGGTTCAAGCCGAGAACCTCGGCCATCAGCGGTGCGATAGTGGCCCAGAAGTTCCCTGCGACCAGCCCCTCGGTGACGGCGAAGAAGACTAGAAGTCCGAAGCTTTTTGCATTGACCCAAACTGTGAGAGAGAGCAACCCACCAAGGAGCGTCATCGACGCAGCCATGTTCATCCGCCCGAAGCTGTCACTGAAGTATCCAATCAGAGGGCGGCCGACGGCCTGCGCAAAGTTGAAAAGTGCGCTGATGAGAGCGCCGTCGGAGGCCGGCAAGCCAATCTCAGTTGCGTAGCTCGCGAGACTGAAGATGAGGACGAAGTATCCCAACATTGTGAAACCGCCGAAACCGAGGAGTAGAAGATACTCTGCCTTTTTGAAAAGCGCAAGTTCGAAAGTAGATTGTTTCGAATCGGTCGCCTTTTTACGGTCGCGTATCAAGATCGTGCAGGTTGTGTTTACGCAAAAGCCGATGATTCCCAAAGTTCGAAACGTCCACTGGAGACCCAGGCTTCTTATCATTGCACCCGCGGCAAGGGCATACACTCCCCCGCCGAGCCCTGCGCCTGAAAGCGAAATACCGGTGGCCAACGATCTTTTTGTGGTGAACCATTGGGGGACGACAGCCGCGGTAGGTATGAAAAGGAGACCAACCCCGATGCCAAATAACACTCCTTGAGTCAAGAAAAGATGCCATATCTCCGATGATAGACTGGCCAAAAGAAGGCTGGCTGTTTCGAGAACAACTCCGCAGAACATCGTGGGCCTGATCCCGTACCTCTGAACACATTTTGTTGCGACAGGGGAGATCAGTAGGAGACAAGTGAGGCTTAAACTCGTGACGAAGGCATACTCCAGTGGCGATGAACCTGGAAAGATATCGTGTTCCAGATAATATGCCAGAAAGACGGCGTACGCCGAGTTGAACCCCCACGAATGGCCATTGACCACTGCTGCTGCTACTGTGCAAACCCAGCCGTAACCTCCATTTGGGGGTGAGTCTTCTGTCTGGTCGTCCTGAGAGCTATTGTCGTTGAAAATAGAGTTCGCTGGTTGGCGGCGTAGCTTTGATGCTGGAATAGTTGTCTTTGTTGGGTTGGGTATCGAAGTATTACTTTGGACAGGTGACATGATGGGGGCGGTGTTGATTCAGTGCGTGGTTTGCTGGCTGGCTCAGAGTCATGCCTTGCAAATTCGAAGGGCATATCTAGAAATTTCAAGTATTTTGTATGTACTAAGCACAAGACTGGAATCTTTTAAGGATACGAAGCCAGAGGCTAGGCTCGAATTACTAGGCCGCGGCGTTTAGAAAAGAGACCGTTCTGTAGCACACCATGAATTCCGATTCAAACCCGAGCGAAAGCCGCATGGACCAATCAGAAAGGCTCCCTCAACCGCACCCCCAAAAGTTGAAATCGTTGTCAAGAAAAGTCATTCAAGAGACTGACTGGTCCTATTCCATTTACACAGGATACCTGAAATCCTGGGCTTTTCCCCGAAAGCGATGTCCACCTGAGGCCTCAAGCAAATCTCGTGGGTTCCAACTTGAAGTCAGCACGGTCTGCCATCTCCACCTTGGAGACCTCTCTGGGACCATTTTCTCCTTCGGATAACCCATTATTGTCATGGCCTTCCTCGGCAACTCGCCACTTCCAAAATTGAGTGAACTCGTCCGGAATGCCTTCGAGCTGATTCTTGACATGCTGCGAACCTCTTTAGCTTACATTCCGTGAGATACCTTGAATCGCGGAGACGGGGGTTCTTCGGTCTATAAAGACACTTACTCTGCCTAGTATGGGAAGGAATTTGAATGCATGACCTCTGAAAACTGTGTGTCAGATTTGAAATATTTGGATGCCCCGAAATGACCATCACTTACGATCCTCCAGTGCAGATGAAAAGAGACTTCGAGTACCCGGGCACGTAGTCAATGACATACTGTGGACGTTAGCAAAAGCTCATTAGAAGGTACATGACCTGACTCACATCATTGTCAATGCTGTCCGTATACCAGCATAGCTATTTTCTTGTCATTGGCAAGGGGACATGTATTTGAGAGGATCGAGGCCACTTACTCTGCTATCCGTAAAGCCGAACTCGACCAACTCGGGGAAAGCTTCGGCGATAACTTCTTTCATGCGGCACAAGCCGTAAAGAGGTACCGTTTCGATCGGCGTTTCGGTGTATTTGGTACGTGGTGTTGAAATGCGACTGCACGTGATAAGTTTTGATCGGAGTGACGATCCCGGGGAATGCTTACAGATTTGGTTCCGTGGGATGATTTTGGAAATTGGTGAACTTAGCAAGCGCCGTGGTCAGCAGACAGTATTGTACAGTTGCACCGAAACATTACCAACCTTGCGACCGCGGAAACCGAACTTGAGTCGGCCTTGTTTGCTGATGGGGAAACCACCGCCCTGGTAATATCTGCAGAAGCCATGAATGAGCCTGATGAAAGTTACGTATTCAATGCAGAACTCACTCGTCACCGTCTCCTTTGCGGTAAGACCACACTGGATAATTATCCGGGTGAAACTTCTCCCTCAGATCCGTTCTCTCCTTGGGGATGTCGATGAACATAACGGTTCCGGCGGTGGCTTCAACTGTACGATGAGCCTCGGGGATGATAGACGCAGTCCAACTGCCAGCTGTAGATATGATGAGCGCATGCATCCAAAATGTCGTTTGCCAAATTCATACCAGCAACAATCACAAGATCTCCGTGATGGCTGAGACCATCGCAGGTTTGAAGACCGGTCACCTTCTTGTGGCCATTCTTTTCCTTGGTGATCAACTTCTCAAGCTTGCCCTGAGGATCACCCAGGACGAACTTGATACCTTCCTTCTCGCACAAGAAGCGAGCATAGACGCAGGCCTGGCACGAGTCAGATGTCAAAGAACGTTTGGATGGACATGGGATTAGTCACCTTGTCTGCGATGGTGATACCAGCATTGATGTCTATGAAGCCGTTGGTATTGCTGCCATTGATCTTGTCAATTATGTGGTACTTCTCAACCCATTTAGGGTCAATGTTTCTGAGACGCTCCTCATCTTCGGCATCGCCCTGCACGGTAAACATCAGCCATAGCACAGACGACTGCATCGACATAGTTTGCGCCTGCACATACTTTCACAAATAACATTTTTCTATGGTCAGGGGCGGTTTTGCTCATCAGCTCCAGACTTTCGGCATAGTAATCTCGCATGTCTGATCCCTCTGCAAGGAAGTAAGCCCCACAGAGGTGAAGAAGCTTGTCCTCTGGACTCAGGCCGGGCGGAAGGTCCGAGGAGGCAGTCTCAGCAACTGCTTTATTCCACGAGAGCCACATGTCTTTGGCCTCGAGTGCCAGGTTCTGGTAGCTAAACGTGGGCTTCAGCATCAACAGTCAGGGACGGCATGGCTGGTTCATACCGGAGTTTGTCTCCATAGGCCATGCGAAAAACCTTATTGATGTCGGCGGAGGCTCCGTCGCAGCCATTTGAAGGGTCGTAGAAGTTCTTGTCGAAAGCGCATCGGTCAAAAATTGTGATGTCCTTGTAGCCGCTACGAGCAAGCCACAGAGCTGTGCTCAGGCCGAACACGCCAGCGCCAATGATGATGATCTTCTGATCGGGGGATTGCATTGTAAGGTATTTAGTTGTCGTGAAGCCTACTTGTGAAGCCAAAGAAAAGTCTGAGAAAGAATGTCATCATACTCTGAATCAGTGATTAAATATCATAGAGACCTCCGGCCATATCGACGGTGGGAACAGCAACAGAGAAAGATCCGACTTCTCTGCCGTTATCTTGACTTATCAGTATTGTTCCGTGTTACATGATCTTCGGGGAGATACATGTTAGTTCTGACATCAGACTAGCATCAAATGCCGACCTTTGCCTCCTTTACCCGACGCTTGGAGTTTTCAGCAGAGTGATGCATACTTGCGGTTGGCAGTTGCACGTATTCCTCCGAGCGACAAGACCAAGAAGGTGGGACTATTGCAGGCTTCTATTGCGCATCATGCGATCGTGATTGGCTCTTCGTATTCTTCCGATCAAAGTGGGTGCTGATAAGCCCAAATCTAGCTACACACTTGGAGCTCCCTACGGCAGTCTGCAGGGACGACTGGCTTAAATTAAATTCTAACTGCTTTAGGTCACTACACTCACGCTCTCTTCAGTATATAACTAAACATTATATTATAATTATACGTACATAGATAAAATCGCACCTATACTTAATTAATCTAACTTTTTTTCTAAATTATATACTTTATCTAACCTATATAACTTAAATCTAAATAAATTATATTTTCTTTAAAATATTTCCTCTTATGTAGTATTCCTTATTATAGAGGAGATTAAGTGCCTAAGTAGTAGCTTATACTACTTTAAAGCCTAACTTTAGCTAGTATTTTTTTATTTAATATATAGTATAAATCTTATATTAATTTTAATCCTAGATATAATTAACTTTATAAATATAAGTTATTTAGTACTAATCCCTTTTTTTTAGTTCCTAACTTTTTTAGATTAATAAAGTCCCTCTTACTTATATCTTATTAAAGCTAACTATAAAACCTCTTACTTTCTTAACCTTTATAAACCTTATATCTATTTAGATTACTATAACTTTTTATAGCTATATTATAATAGAGAAGAATAAACGTAAAGCTAGTATCTAGGTTATAAAAAAAGTATTAGTACCCTCCCTAATAATTAATATCCTTCTATTATTATATATAGTTATATATTATAAAGTTAATAAATATAGGTTTAAAGTCTTAATATATACCTATATTCTCCTCTTTAAATACTTTATAACTTAGCTATCTTTCGTTCTAGTAATAAAATACTAGTTATATAAGGAGATAATTTAAGTAATTCTTAAATAATTTATTATAGATAAGTAATACTTTAATTAAATATAAAAAGTAATTCTTATTAATAATAAAAACCTTATATATATTACTTACTACCTTAATAAAGTATATATAGCTATATCTTTTAGTGAATTCCTATATAATACTATAATACTTATTAAGAAGAATATTTGCTTTTTATCTCTTACTTACTTTAATTTTATTAACTTACTAATACTTAATTAAGTTTTATCTAAAAAAGTTTAAGTTTATAAGTAAGTTAAAGTATCTACTTTAATAATACTTAAAGTAAAATAATAAGAGATTAAGTTAATAAATAAATCTATACTAGAAGATAAAAAATAACTAAAGCAAAAACTTTAGTCTAAGCTTTAGAATAAGGTTAAGCTAGCTATTAAAGTTAAATAATAACTAACTATCTCTACTTAATCCTAAATAAGTACTACTTAGAAGCTTTTAGTAAAAGTACTTACTAGAATATCTTTATAAATAAGTATAAAAGAAGTTTCTTATAAATAGTCTTTTTTAAATTTCGCTTATTCTAATTAATAAGATACTACTCTAGTTAAACCTTACTTAGAAGAAATAATTAAAGTAAAGAGGGATTAAAATAAAGATAGTTCTAAATAAAGGTATAATAATATATAAGGAAATAAATAGAATAATATAAATAGAAAGACTAAAAATTAAAAAAAATCCCTTTTATATAGAGATATAATATCTTAAACTTCTTTTTTTACTTTAATCTCCCCTCTTTTTATTAAGTTTACTCTCTATCTCTTCTAATACTAGATTATTAATATTAATACTTTTTAATAGTAAATACTCTTTAAGTTATTATATCTTATTACTTAGTATATTAAGAAGTATAAGTTTAAGTAAGCTTTTATTGAGGTAATATTATTATAACTTCTCTTATAAAAAGAGATACTACTTAAGTTAGGGAAACTTTATTATATTCTCTTTTAAATACCTACTATTAAGAAGATTAAGTATTATATATAGGATATTTTAATAAAGTATAACTATACTTAGATATAAATAAGTATCTAAATTAATTTAGTTATAGCTTAAAGCTTCTTATATAATCTATAAGTATTTAGGGTTAATTAGCTATAAGTAGTCTTATATTATTTAGAGATTTAGTTAATAGAATAGATACTATAATTAGCTATTAAGTATATAAGAATAATTATATTATTTATAAATATAATAGGAATTCTATATATATATAAAGTTAGTAAAGTCTTAGTAGATAAGTAGTATAAAAATAAATAATATTATAATATAATTAGTAATTAATTCTAAGTGAAATAAGCTATACCTTTATAATAAACTAAAGTATTCCTAGATAATATTAATATAATCTTTAGAAATATAAGTAATAAATATATATACTTACTAAAAGATAGATAATACTTAATATAAGCGCTCTTACTAACTTTTAATCTTAACGTTATAAATATTTTTTCTAAAGATTTAATAATCTTAAAATTTAATAGAAACTTCTTTACTATTTTATATCTTCTTATATAAAGATAATAAGGACTAATAAGTTCTAGCTATAATTATAGTCTTAATATTATAATTAGAATAAATAATTAAAAGTATATAGCTAAGCTTTAAAATAACTTTAAGATATTAAGCTATTATATTATAAGATATATATACTAAGATCTTAATATAAAACTATATAATAAATTAAGAATAGGTATTAATACCTATATAGATCTTAAAGCTATATAGAAGTAATTTATTATATATATTAAGTAACTAAATAAAATTTAAGCTAAGTATTATCTAACCTTTCTATCTATATTATATCTCTTATAAATAAGTAGTAATATTATTAGGAAAGACTTTATAATATACTTTATAGAGGATATTATAGCTAATAAAATAACCTTATTAGTATATAAATATATAGAGATATTTTTATCTATACTTTTGCGCTATATATACTTCCTAAGTTAATAATTAGAAGAATATAATTATATAAACTTTTGCAGCTATAAGTTATTCTATATTTTAGTATTAATATATACTATTCTTCTAATATAAGTCTATAAAGCTAATAGGAGTTATTATAAACCCTTTACTTTAAAGAGTATAAATAATACTTAAATTAATAAAATATTATTAGAAAAAGAGCGCTTAAATATAAATAAGTAACTCTAGAGTAAGGATTATATAGGATTTATAATAAAAGTTCTATTTTTAAAATTACTATTTAAAAGTTATTTTTAAAAGTTAAATCTAATATATTAAAATTAAATATATAATAATTTTATTATATAACTAGTTATCTTATAACTTTATAGAAATTTCTAATTAGAATTAATCTAAATTAATTTACTTTTAAGGCATTATAAGCTATTATATATAAATAAATACGCTTATAATTAAAAAGAAATAGTTATATATAATATTATATTAATATATATAGAATAGTAAAGTTATAGTTATAACTACTACGCTAAGTATAGTTATATATTAATATACATATAATTATAAGGCTTTAAACTTTATCTATATACCTATATATAATACTATATAACTTTATACTTACTATGCTAAACCTAAATAACTTTAAATAAAACCTAATAGACTAGAATACTTATATTTATAGGCATATAACTATATATAAGCCTAGGTAGCTTTAGACTTCTCTATATATAAGTAATTAGTTATATATTCCTATATATAGGATTAAAAACCTTTATACTTATCTTATTATAGATATCTATAAGCTTATTAAGTATATATACTATATTATAGAAGGCTTTAGCTAAGAACTACTTTATAAGCGCTTATATAGCAAGCTCTGCTTTAATATTAGCCTTAAGTATATCTATACTCTCTTAGGTAGAGGCCTTTAATTACTTATAGGTGCTAGTAGGCTTATTAGTAGCTATATACTTATAGCTACTTTTAGTTAGGGTTGAAAAAACGCTCTTAGGCTTAGTCTTATCTATATAAATTAGTATACTACTTAAAGTATTTATATAGGAGTATATAACTTATAATACTTCTTTATAGAGTAATCCTTACTATATATATTATAATAGTAGTTAGTATAGTAATTATAATTATTAAATATGATATACTTAGTATATAGACTATTATTATTAAGATAGGTCTTATATATATCTTTATTTTTTAATATATTTCTATAAATAAATATATAAACTCTATTAGTATATTATCTATATATAGTGTTGAAAGTAAGGAAGGGATTATTTATATACTCTTTATTATAAATATAGATAAGTTACTAAACTTAGTATATATTAGTATAGAAGAAATAAGAATTATAAGTAAATATATACCTTTAGATGCATTAAGAATATAGCTATAAATATTAAATAATATAATATATTTTATATCTAATATAAAAATTAGTAAGTATATCTATATATAAGTATAAAGTTATATATATACTCTTAAGTAACTATTTAGTTATAATTAGGCTATAGTAGTTTTATATAAGGTTATATAGTATATCTATAGGTATATTTAAAAGTAGCTCTATATTATTAATAATAGATAGAACTATAATTTTAGGAGGTATTATAAATAGTTCTATATAAATATGTTAATATCTATATATAATTATATAAAAATATAAAAAGTAAATAATAGAAGAATATAAGAAAAAAGGAAATATAAAGGGGGGGGGTGTATACTTATATATAGGGGTAATACCTAGAAAAAAAAAGAAGAAGAAGTTTCTAAGTAAGTAGCTATAGGTAAGGGGTTTTTATAAGTAGGGTTAAAGTACTATAATTAGTAAATTTTATCTAATTAAAATAGTATGCTAATACCCTCTTCATATTACTATAGTACGGTAGGTGCCTACCTAATAAAAAACCTGATTTGAGCCAGTCGTCCCTGCAGACTGCCGTAGCTCCCCTGAACATCATTGGCTGTTCGTATTTCCCTGGATTCAGTATCACTTGACACACGGATTGGATGCCATCCCCCCTGCCAAGGTCGGATATTTGAGGATAATGGCAAATCATAGACTTGAAAAGTGTAAGCCATAGCTGCCTCAATGAGTTGTTAATACAAATTACAAATGGAAGCGGCTATGCGCCCAAAGCATCTGGTCTGCAGCTCAATCTTCTGGAACATCAAATCATACAAACGCCTATCAAATCAAGGCCTAGATTTCATCCGAACAATGGGCTTGAATAGTCACCTTCAGCGTTTGACGCAAGTAAGGGCCTTTTTGCAGGCTCTGCATAGCGCTCCGAGGGCGGTCATCTCGAACCGCAATTTGCTATTCTCATCCGCGGTCTATGCCATGAGCGGTCTTCCGCCAAGTAAGTCTTCCGCCAAGTATTGCATGAACCAGTGCATCACAACTAACAAGCTATTCGCGAATGAAGCTTGGGACCAGGGTTCCTCCTCTGTTTTGCCCTCTCTCCCAGGCTTCCAGCAACATTTTCACATCAGCTCTGGCTCCAACGCCGATGAGATCCAAAACTTTGTATCTATCGTTTACATCGGCTATGCCTTTGGCGCAGCAGCCTCATACTTTACGAACGATCACATTGGCCGCCTCTGGTCTTTTCGCCTCTACACTTCCATTTGGATCATCGGACAGCTGGTTGCTATCCTTGCACCAGGATTGCCGGCTTTGTACGCGGCTCGTATCATTTGTGGAAGCGGCATCGGCGCGCTCTCTGTAACTGGGCCCATGTCCATTGTGGAAATTGCCCCAAGTGAGATTCGCGGATTACTCACCTCGTGGTATGCCGTAACCATGGGCATTTCCCTGACTGTGGCAACCTTTTCCGTCTATGGTGTTTACCTTCATCTGCCCGCAATCCGGTTGCAGTACCAGGTTGTTTGGTTTGCACCAGCCATCTTTATGGCACTCACCGTTTTTGCCAGCTTCTTTGCTTGCGAATCGCCTCGGTGGCTTTTGGTAGCTAACCGTCCAGAGGAGGCCCTGTCAACCTTATCACAGGTCCGCGGGTTACCAGCTGATCACCCACGAGTGGAGGCAGAGTTTCAAGAAATGAGAAATTCAATTTCGTCGGCTCTGAATGGAACCGAGGATGGGACTCTCTGGCGACGTCCAACGCTGCAAGAGGTTGCGAAAGAGACTTTTACCGTTTCGGCCAACTTGCGACGGCTCCAACAGACGCTGGTATCGTATGCGATGGCGCAGATGTCAGGTGCAAACTCGGTTACTTCATACTTCATCCCCATCATGAAGATCATTGGCGTCGAGGGCGGAGTTGGAAACACTCTCTTCTTGAGCGGTATGTATGGTTTCTCGAAACTGATGTTTAGCCTGATATCTTCCTTCTTCTTTATCGATCTGCTTGGTCGAAGGAAGTCATTGTTCATTGGTATCACATGTCAAATGCTATCACACATCTACATCGGCGCGTTCGTCAAGGTCCATCAGGAGGGCCAAGTCAGCCAGTCCGCATCGGAGGCAGCAATTGCAGCCATCTTTGTCCACGCATTCGGATATGCTGTTGGTAAGTCATGGCCACAATTTGCTTAATTATGCGATAACATCTAACCGTCTATTGCGGCCAGGCCTCTTCATCCTTCCATATGTCTTCGGTGGCGAGCTCTGGCCAACCCGAATTCGGTCCTTCGGCGGCGCTGTTGGGCAGACGTTTCATTGGTTGTTTCTGTACGCCATCAAATTCAGCTTGCCTTCGCTTCTATCAAGCACTCACAATTGGGGCGCCTTCATTTTCTTTGCTGGGTGGTGTTTCATTGCCCTTATCTACGTGTACTTGATGATTCCTGAAGTTTCGGGCCTCAGTGTGGAAGAGATTGATGCCATCTTCAGAGGCCCGTGGTTCAATGCCTACAAGCATGGGAAGACGCCCGTAATTTTCGGATCTGAGTCACCTGCCGATGAATCAAGTTGTGAACCAAGGTAAGACTTTTCCTTACACTTGGACGGTTGATCTTGGCGATAACTGACTAAGGTACCTACTGGATTAGGGGCAACAACTCGGAGTTTGCAGACGGGAAGAAATGAGCCTTGTTCACGGCAAGGGTCATCATGGAGGTTTAGATGGGCTTCCGTCTTCATTGACATCTGGAAAGCACTTTTTGGCGACTTGGACATGTTGGTTGTGTGGTTGAGATAAGGATAACATCAAACCAACCTATAAGGCAATATCTAGCTCCTGTCTTAACTACATGTGATGCTTATTCATGTATGCGGAGTCGTAACTTCAGCTGTGATGTGAAATAATGTCTGACGCGAGTTTGCCTTCGCTGGAGGCATGCGAAGAGCTCGACACTATGCTACCCAGCTTGTCGTTGTCGCACGTGTAGAATCTGCCAATGGGGGACCATCAATTTTCCCCACAGTTGCCTGACTTGGTATATAAGTAAAGCAAGGCCACTCCAAATCCTCCATACACGACTATGCCGAGGACCCCGCGACCCCACAGCCAGAAATGCAAGCCGTGCTGAGGTGCGCACCAACAACGTCTATTCATAGGAAATGAACAGAAAGGCGAGACGTGTCCGCGTTGGCAAGCGGACGGCTCTCGCGTGCACGTTTTGTAAAGAAAGGAGATTGCGGGTTCGTCTTATTGATCACAGACATGGAGGCTGTCGACTTGTTGATACAGCATGCTGACGGCTGTGAAGTGCGACGGCCAGAGCCCTAAATGCGGTCACTGCGTTGGATCGGAACAAGGTATTGAGGAATCTTTTTGATGACAGTCTTCGGCATGGAAGCTAAAAGCAAAGACAGACTGTGTCGTTGTTGACCCAGAGACTGGCCAGCAGCGACCAAGAGACTATCTCAAGTCTTTAGAGGAGCGCGTGGCCTATCTCGAAGGACTACTCAATGCATCGGACTCTGGTGCAGCCCATAACGAAAACAATCCATCTCAACAGCCTCAAGGCCAGATCAGAAGCTTCGATACAGTGTGTGCGCCGGCAATAACGGAAGTCTCAGTATTTGGTGAGCCCACTAGGCCGTTCGACAGCCTTTCATCATCTTCAAGGCCTCTCACGAAGAAGACAGATACTGGACTTACTGCCGATGCCGGCATATCGGAGTCTACTTCAATGTCTCTAAGAGATCCTTGTGGAAGATCACGGTATTTTGGGCCTTCTTCTACAGTTTGCTTCTCGCGTAGTGTGAGCACTGCGATGGGCATCGTTACCCGTAGTAAAGTATCAGGGCCCCTTCGTTTGGCAGGGAACAATGGATCTTCAATGAGGTTTCCCTCTCCGAGCTTTCCTGGCAACCTGTCTCAGACCTATTTCGAAAATATTCATCCACAATATCCGATCTTGCACAAGCCAACGTTCCAGAAGTGGGAGGACCATTACATGAGAGCCAATATCGAGGGTGACCAGACTCTTGTTGATGAGTCGTCTCTATTCTTCGTTCTGATGGTGAGAGCATTTCTTACCCATTCTTTTAAGCAGATCGCTAAGTCAGTACCCCTCCTCCCGGCAGGTACATGCCATTGGAGCACTGGTTCAAAACCACTACGATATTGCTATGGTGAGTCAATCGCCCTAATTGAAACTGTTCTCGACTAATGGTGTGCTGGCCACAGGCTTATTATAGCAGTGCCATGGAATACATGGATTCATTGCTCAGTTTGGACAATTTAACCTCGATTCAATGCGTCCTTTGCTGTGCAGTGTTTTCGATTCGGTCTCCCGTAGGCGTCAGTGTTTGGTACTCACTGTGACTCCATTTCCGTCGACTTATGATCAAAACTAACGAGTCTTCGAAACAGGAAAACCGTAGGCATGGCTCTTCGTCATTGTATCGAAATGGGATTGCATCAGCGCACGGCGGTATATTACAGAAACGCCAATACTTTGGAATAAGAGCTGTCGAAGCGGTGTTTTTGGGTGGCGTACAACCTTGATCACGCCCTCGCACTAACGTTGGGGCTCCCTCTGGGCATATCGGATGACGCGATCTATGTAGACGTAAGTTCCGCTTGGGAATGGCTATGGACATCAGAAGGTTGACCAAAGGACTAAGCTTCCCATGGACGTTGACGATGAAGCAATCACGCCAACCGGCTTTCTGCGTCCTCCGCGGACTGACATCACGTCTTCTCGAACACTTTCGACTGGTTTCATACATTCAATCAAACTACGTCGTCTTTGGAGTAAGATCAGCGATTGTCTCTACCCGCAGGTCCAGCCTCTCGTCAGAACAATGAGCTCCATAGATAACAAAGACCGCATCCAGGAGATTCAACTGGAGCTGGAGGAGTGGTACGCTGAAGTGAAAACCCATGAAGTGGACCCTATCACGAATCCACAATCTCTGTATGCCTCTGGGAAATGGTTTCAGCTTGAGTATCTCCGCGCTCTACTTCTTTTACACCGCCACTGTCTCACGCCAGACCGCTCGTCTGCTCTAGGACTCGAAACGCAGCTTGAGATTGAAGATTCTATGGAAACTTGCGCCAATGTTTCCTCGAAGCTCTGTTTCCTGTTCAGAGAAGTACACGAAGGGACAGCTGTCCAAATCACTTGGAGCATGGTGCATGTGCTGTTTTCAGCAGGTCTTACCTATCTTGGGTGTCTGTGGAAGTCGAAGCGAGTTCGCGAAAAAGCTCAAGAGATGTACATTTCGGCAACTTTTGAAGCGTGCCTCAAAGTCCTCGCCATCGCAGAGGACTGGCATCCTGAGTCTCCATACCGCCAGATCTTTGAGAAACTGGCACAACATACGATGAAGATGGTTTCTGGAGGCGATGTCGATCCTTCATTCCGGCATCCTCCAAATATTGGAGCCGTCAATGAAGCTTTCCAGGATGAGAATTGGTTCACTTTGGGAGAAGATATGGATCCGATTGCACTTCAGGACTGGGACAATTGGCTTGCTGACGCAACACATTGAGTTGAGAGGCTTCTTTCTAATTTTGTTCACATTTGCAGACTTGATATCTTCAATATTGTGAGAAATATGACATATGATTAGCGCTCTGCTATTTCTCAATAGGAGAGAAGGGTGGACAGCTTTCCTATTGAAAATATGTTGCCGGCGTTCATCGGCCGGAGTTATGGGTCCGTGAGCGACCAGCTCCGACGGAGCTTGTGTGGGTCCTGCGGGTAGATGGTGGTTGGCCAGTGCTTAACTCCGTCAATCGCCACTTTCTTTCCTTTCATTGACATCACGATAACCATCGCGTCGCCCCCTCGCGATTCCATCTCTCAACCGACCATGCGCATACTGCTGACGCCTGTTGGTGCGTGGAACTGGAAATATGGCGACTAGATTTACGAGAAAGTCGTTCGTCTGCGGACGCTGCCTTCGAATTACGAACCGAATCGAGCCTAGAATCCGAGTTGCCCCGCGATTTTACTCCTCCGAACGAGCTACCGAAGCTGCCGAGACGCAACAGAAGCAAGATGGGCCCCCTAAAGAGAAGGGTGCTATGTCACGCAGACTGGAGGAAGCTACCGAGGAAGCTCTGTTGACGGGAGGCCGTGCTGGACGACGAGCAGTCGAGGATGCGGGGTTTGATCAAGAGCTCAAGGAGAAGCTTCTCGACAAGGTTCAAACAGCCAAGTTCAGATCCGACTTTGCGTCCGCGTTTGCCGAGGCCGAGATGCCTACTTCTGCCGCTGAAGGGACCCGAATCATGGCGACAACGCAGCCCTGGACTGGCGAGGAATCGCAATCCGACACTGCCCTTCGCATGCTGAATGATGCGAGGAAGCCTCTCAAGCCCGAGCTGCGGGGAAAATACCAGATCCCGCCAGTCGACATGCGGATACGGCGAGAACCGAAAGTCAACGCTGGCCAGCGCGCTGCCAATGCACGCGAACGAGCGTCGACGTATACCGGTATGGGGATGAAGGAGAAGAATGGGCTCAGCGATGCCGAGCGGGAGGAGATGAGGAAGACATTTCGTGAGCGGTTCGAGCCAGGGGCTAGAGCTATGCCGAATACCATATCTGGGCTGGCTGCACTAGCAAACGAGAGGATAGAAAACGCTATTGCCCTCGGTCAGTTCAAGAACATCCCTCGCGGCAAGGGCGTCGAGAGAGATACTAGAGCGGATAATCCGTTCATTGATACAACGGAGTACATCATGAACAAGATGATCAAGAGGCAGGAGATTGTTCCACCTTGGATTGAGAAGCAGCAAGAGCTGGCAAAGGTTGCGGGCGCTTTCAGAGCAAGGTTAAGGAACGATTGGCGGCGGCATGTCGCGAGGATGATTTCCTCTCGCGGCGGCAGCCTCGAGGAGCAGATGCAGAAAGCCGAAGACTATGCACGCGCTGAGGAGCTGCACAACCCGCGCAAGAGGAACAGCGACAGTATCTCAGTGCCTACAAACTCGACGGATGACATCGTCATGGTTAAGATGCGGCAACAGGCGGCAGAGGATGCGGCAGCCAAAGATGCAGCTGTCACGGCTACGAAGGAGTCCCCCAGGCCTCCGGTAGCACCGTTTCGCGACTCGGATTGGCTTGAGAGCGAACGCTCGTACATGACCCTCGCTATCGAGAACATGAACGCCATCACGCGGTCATATAACCTCATGGCACCAGAGCTGGCGAAGAAACCGTACTTCTCACTGGAGCGTGAGCTCAGTGCGTGTTACGCCGACGTCGCGCCACAAGTAGCTGGGACCATCAGAGAGAGGGCGACAAGGCCTGTCAAGCCAATGTTTGATTCGGCCGGCGCTGGACCGGCGGCTATCTTCGATCGTTTTAGTAAGGAGGGCAAGACCGCCAAGATCTACGATTCGAAAGCTCCTCATTACGGTTTCAAGGAGATGTGGAGAGACATATGGAACTGAGTGCTTTCCTCTCACTTAGCAACAATTGATCCAAGTCACGTTCAAAGGCACTTTGGAATTCGAGAAAACGTCACAACCAACGAATGTTCGCTGTGACTGCTCAACTGGGCAGTGTAGACTGCCCGCGCTAGTGTGCCGCCATGCGCCACCTTCTGCGTTGCTTATCGCTCTCGTCGCTTTGCTCGCTTTGCGACCGCATAAGGCATCCAAACGACCGTCTCAGGCAGGAAACCGCCTAAGCGGCTTCAGACCCTTTGGGAAAACGGGTAGACTAATGCTAAGCTCATGCCAAGGCCCCGTCTTTTCTCGCGAATCGACACTTCTCAACACCAAAGTCCCTTTTGCTTTCGCTGTCGCCTTTCCGCAGCGCAGATCTGTCCCCAACTTTGACCGCAGCACTCGACTGCGTCAGCCGTCAGCTAGGGCTGAAATGGATCTGGTGTCTCCGCGTAAGGCACCACATTGCCCGCGTCAGGCATCGAATTGGTGTCGAGCAGGAGTATCGTGAGGCAGTGATGGGGGGCTGTTGGCTGTTGCCTTGCTTTACGTGATATACCAAAACGCATCTAGATCGGCAAGCAACTTGTTCGTTGTGCATCAGAGCCTTGTCTCTCACTCACTTAGCTACTGCGCTCAACTAAAAAGATATAAGAGTCTTGGCTTTCCTCATGTCGGAAAGCCTTTGATCCCACATCAACTCCAAAAGTTCTCTCTCAGTCTTGGGTAACATACAATCATCGACTATTCCAGCCTTATTGATACTAAGCTTCAACTTCCTTCTCGCCAAATCCACCCTTTAATCCACGCACTGCTCCGAATACAAGTCGACGACATGGCCGTCTCAGACAAATACTCCCTCGCTGTCCTCATCATCTTCATCACCCTTTCACTCCCTACACTGTTCGTCACTTTCAAACATGGCGTACGAGGATGGGCAATTCTCGGATGGAGTTACCTCTTCATCTTTTGCAGTTTGAAGATCATCGGCTCCGGCATGGCCTTGGGCGACCCTGAGAGCAGCGGCGCCACAATCGTCTCCAGTGTCGGCTTGTCACCTCTGCTACTCGCACTTTCTGGTGTTCTACATGAAGCGTTAGTATTCCATCTCAGCATATCAGGCCTTGGCGCAAACCTAACGCTGCATTCTACAGTCGGTTCTACTTCACCAGCTCCTCTAGACGCAGCGCAAATCACAAGCAAGACCTCATTTTCGTCCTCATGTTCCACATGTTCACCATGCTCGGTGTCGTTCTCATCGCGATCGGCATGTCCCGCCTCATGAACCACGCATCTCCCGACGACGTTTCCAAAGGCTGGACCCTCGCCAAGGTCGGCGCCGTTATTCTCTTCCTCAGCTGGGTAGCTCTCGCTGCAGGCGCCGCCTTCACCGTTTTTCAAGGCTACATACGCAGTGACGGCCGCCCTCAAAAGAAGGCAGCCGTCATGCTCCTCACAGCGGTCCTTTTCGCGGTGCCGTTTGTGGGCGTGAGAGTCATCGCGACGCTGGCCTACGTCGCGTCGGAGAACAGTTCACTCAGCGCCGCGACCGGTTCTGTGATGGTGAAGGTGTGGCTGTACCTCTTTGAAGAGCTGGCCGCCACGCTCATCCTCGTGATCAACGGTGTTTTGGCCAGGAATGTCAAGAAGCTCGATCAGGAGGCTGTTGTCAACGGAGGATGGCAGACACGGCCGGCAGATGCGGAGCAACAGGCCTACGAGCGGAAGTAAGACTGGGATGCATTTATTACGATGATGTAGCTAGTAGGGACTTTCGTTACTGTCAGCTTTTGATATCCATTTTCACTTATCGGACTTTGCCTCTTTCAGCTACGGCCACAAGATAGACTCAGGCCCAGATTTAGCTGCTCAAGATTTGTTCTCATTGGTCACGAAGCAATAAATAAAGGTGTCTTATTGTGAGGTAAGCGCCGCTGACGCAATCTCATAAGCACATTGTCACTGTCAGCGACGCTTTGTAGGCCAACTTCACTTGACAACAGACTGCTTTTATTCGAACGCTCTCGATGGTAGTTGTGTGACTTCTAGCGCGGTAATAACTGGAAAAGAACATGGGCCAGTCTCGTAGGGCACATACCAAGTCACGAAACGGGTGCAAGGAATGCAAGGCCAAGAAAATCAAGGTGAGCAGGTTGCGGGCATCACTTCAGAACCCAGGTTCACCTCAATGACTCTGACATACGCATCTATAAGTGCGACGAACAGATTCCATGTGGCCGCTGCAACAAGTTCTTGTTGGCCTGCAGCCTGTCAACAGAGTCTACCACTTTAACCACTCCTCCACTCCATTCTCTAGCCTCTAAACCCGTCGACAGCAGCAGCCCTTCAACCCCCATCGACGCCTTTGAAGCTTCTGACTTTGCTCTTTTCAATCACTTCCTGACGACGACACTTCCATGTCTTGCTCTCAAAAATGAGGCGCTGCTCATGTCATGGAAGTCAGACCTTCCCAACCTGGCACCCAAGTTTCCTTACCTCCTGCACGAAGTCCTAGCTGTATCGGCCATCCATCTCCATCATCTCAACCCCAGCAGCTCGATCGACTACCAGCGCATGGCATGGGGCCACCAAGCCAAAGCCTTTAGCCAATTCCGCGATGCGTTGTCCCCGGAAGTGGCAGCACACCAAGTGCACGCCCTCTTCGCTTGCTCGGCGCTCATGTCCAACTACTACTTCGCTTCATTCGAAGACCCTTCTTCACTCCTTTTCAACAGTGACCCTCCCGGGTCTCCTGAATGGATCTTTCCTGTCCGTGGCTGCGCAACGCTCGTCCGCCAGCTGAGAGGCCCTTTAGAAGCGAGCACATCTTGGACGGTGCTACAGTCGTCTTTGGATACATGGTCCGTCAGCCCTCCGTCTCCAGAAAGACCTGAGTGGGAGCCAGAACTTCAGTCAATGGAGGCAAAACTGTCAGTTCTGTCGCATGGAACAGACCCAAGACCTCTGTACGAGGAGGACTTCCAGCTGTTGAGAAAGTGCTTCAAAATAGCTGGGAAAGCCGGCGATGCCTCGTGTAAGGTCTCAGCAATGATGTTTGGAGGCGCGGCATCCGAGGAGTTCTTGAAAGATATGACTGAACGCAAGCGCCCTGAAACTCTGGTCATGATGGCGTTCTGGTGTGTCCTGATAAGCCGCGTGAATCAGAGGCACTGGCTGAGAAGCGAATCGGTACCGGAGGCTATTCTGGGTGTGATAGAGGCGCATCTGCCGCCGGAGTATCTGGAGCTGATACGCTGGCCTGCGCAACAGATCAGATCTGCACGCGGCGATGTACCTATGCAATAGATCCACCAGGATCAATCACAGCAATACTGAACTTCTGGCACTTGAAATTGCTGTGAAACATTCTCTTACCACTGTCTGATATTGAGATTCAAACTCGATATTGTGCTTGTTGTGTGCAACACACCCCAAGAACAACAATTCTTTTATTCAATCTCATCAGTCTGTCTTGGGAAGATCCTCTCGTCGATGGAAACGAACCATCAAAGCGGGCTTCTTCCACATAAGGAACAAGCGTGCTTGACCCATCAAATCCACCTCTTTGCTAACCAGCTCCCAGTTATACAAGAAGACCATCTTGGCCACAATAATCTTCATCTCCAGATACGCCAAATTGGACCCCAAACATGCTCTTGGTCCCTTCGAAAACGGTTGACTAGCTTCCTTGTTGTCTCCATAAGAATCATCGAGCCAGCGCTCCGGTATGAACGAGTACGGATCCTTCCAGTATCGCGGGCTGTGCGATGTAGCCCACTGATCGACACTCACCGTAACTCCCTCCGGAATCATGTGTCCGTCGATAACGGCTCCAGGACACGTGCGCGGTAATCCGAAAGAAGCAGGCGAGAATATCCGCAAGCTCTCCTCGATGACGGCATTGAGGTATGGCAGCCTAGACGCAGACTCGCCGGTGATTTCCCCAACAGATCCGAACGCAGCTCGCACCTCTTCGTTCAGTTTGTCAAGACGTGTTCTGTCTTTGAGTAGGTAGTAAGCCAGAGCAAGCAAGCACGTCGCCGTAGTCTCGGAGCCGCCCACAATCAGCGTACTAGATTGGTTCACGAGCTCTGCTCTGGACACCTCGTTTCCGCCTTTGCGAAGGATGTAGGAGAAGAAGTCGTCGCGATGGGCCGAGTCACCCATCTCAAGCCGCTTATCGAGCTTCTCGCCGGTTAATCTGTTGTGCATTGCGTACTTGGCGGCGGAGTCCTTTGGGAGCATGAATGGGAGAATTAGGTTCATGAGGGGAAGCCGCCTGCGGAGGCTGCTGAGCATGTTGAAGTAACCGCCATCAATGATGATGGAGACCCAGACGTTGGTTTTCCCTTGACCTACTGCGTCGAAGGATTCGCCGAATGTCAGGTCGCCTAGAATGATGTCAGTAGGGGGGTTTTAGCCGCACGACCGACCTATCTGAGGTCAACGGCAGCGAGAAAAAGGGATTATACCAATGATATCAAAGGTCAACCAAGTAAACGCTTCTTCCATATTGATACCTGGCCCCCCTGCACAGCCAATCCGCCCCAGTTGATTGAGGAAGAGATCGACGTATCGATGGATGACAACTTCTTGGTCATGCAAGGCTTTTGCGCTGAAAGCGTGTGCTAGATATCGCCTCTGTCTCGTGTGCTCCTGAGGATCCAGGACTGTGACAATGTCAGGTTGGTCGCCTGTGGTCTGATACCACGATGTTTTGTAGAATGGCCGTTTCCCCTTCATGGTGTGACCGTAAATGTCACGGTAGGCTGGAGCCGTGGCGAATGACAACTCATTTGGTGCTATTCGGACCACTTCGCCTATGGTTTATGACAAAACTGCGTCAGCACGAGCTAGGGTCCATGATTTGTAGCAGCGACTGACCATATTTGAGGTGAGCTTTCTCCATAATGAATGGATGTCGGCCAGACGTCCATGCCAAGGCATACCACAGCTATCAATGATGTGAGCGAGACATAGGTTTCAGTGTAAACTTGGTCCTACATCTGAAATGGCGGCCAGCTTTGGTCCTGGAAACTTGGCCAGTGGGTGGAAGACGAGCCGGTAGATGCATATCACGAGGAAGTATGAGGCCTCAAAAATATTACTCGTTAGCCGGTGGGATCGAGACTGCAAAGTTGCGTTGCAAGCCACCTACCACTGCAATAGTCGAGACAGCGATTAATGCTGTCGAGTACTTCATGCTCATTATCGCTAGTGTGAAAGTCTGATCCACGATTGATAAGTTTCTCAAGATGAAAGCGTTGTCAAAAGCCGCCCGGTGGCTCTGTGTACTGAAAATCAGTCGCAGAGGTATGGCATGCAATCCTGCTGTGAGAAGCCTCTTGCGGAGGCGGGTTCCTGATGCTTTAAATCTGGAAATAACCACCGAGCTGCTCCCCGCGGCATTGCCGTATTCATCACTGGAAGGCATTGAGTTTATACGCAGGTGAAGCTTAGCGGAAACCCTATGGTTACGAGTCGCAACGCGTCAAAACCTTCCTCAGCGCTGCCAGTGGGAAGGTTACCGAGACCGAGCAACATCACGGAAAAGGCAATACCTCGGAGGCTCGGGGCCAAGATGGAAGCCTACCTTAAGAAAGAGGCGACAATTACTGGATTCGATCCACGGAACTCATAGGGATACGTAAGTTCGCACCAATGATGTCAGTTGAGGCTCTTGGTCGGCGCGAAATGTTAAGATTCTTCGCAGGAATAGCCTGAAAAGACGCATTTACGGGATTACAATAGCTTTGCTTCCTGACATATGCTCAAGTGAAGGCGAGCCGTAGCTCTGACTGTCGCAGGGCGCTGCCTCTCGTAATAAGATGAAATGCAAACAATTCTTGAGTCCGACCATGGTCAATTTTGGCTATTCTGTATGTGGGAATTGAACTATTCACATCTTAACTTCGCTGTCATCATGTACGAGGTGAAGATATCTATGATTTGACATCGCGTTGTACCCATACGGATGGACAGAAACAGTAGTGACGGCCCCTTGTATGGCTAGCTTCACAATTTTGAAATATAACTTCTCAGAACGTCGTCGATTGCACATAAGACCTCGCGAGAACGCATGGCTTGCGGTACTAGATCTTGCTAGATAATGTCAATAAATAGTCAACACAGATTGGCCAGCAATTTTACGGCTAGCCATTTATTAGTACATAATCCAGTAATCGCAATAAGGTTGCCCAAATATATTACAGCACAGTCCAGAAGCTCTAAGGCCGCTGATCTTCCAGAGCAAACCATCAAATAGCTGGATCATGCTCTACAACCCCTTCACTTGAAGGCGCGTCTCCGTAACTTTACGATTACCTTAATGAGGTTTCTTTGAAGCGCTGTTCTACTAGTGGGCCATTTTTGGTAAGCAGAACTGGCGATGCGGGATGAACCGAACGCGAGGTTAAGGTGCCAGAGTAGACGCTCATCAGACACCACAAAAGGTGTTAGTACATCTTGACAGCAGGACGGTGGCCATGGAAGTCGGAATCCGCTAAGGACTGTGTAACAACTCACCTGCCGAATGTACTAGCCCGTGAAACATTGGAAAGCCTTCGTAAGGTCAAAAATCCTTGAGAATCACACGAATGATCTTGCATCGCCTGTGACGAATCCGAGGTAGAGTTCAAAGCCATCTGCTCCGTGTAGTCAGTTCACCCAGAAACCTGAATGCCAGCGCTGGTCTCTGTGATGAAGAAGAAAGATATCTAAACATCATAGCATAGAATCTGAAGACGTCGACGGCGTTGACATCCAAACAGCCAGAACACAGACGCAGAGAAGACGTCAACGGCGCTGCCCCTCTCGCCAAGACCCAAACCGTCCCCCTATCTAAATGAGAATGTCTTCAACTGCCCGTGTCTAAGACACGGATGGGCGGCAAACGGAATGCAGACCCATAATTGCCGTCAGCCGAGAAAGTCCGAATCAACTTGTCTGTTTTTGATACAGGAGAGTTTCTGAAGGGATCAACTACTCTGGTGCTGGTGAGGCGCAGTAAAGGTTATGTCTTTGAGCTTGAGGAGGACTATTCCTTCTGTGGCTGTGTAGGAGGTGATGCTGGATCCGGGAGCTATTCTTGTAACGGTGGTCTTGAACATCATGTTCCTGTCGCGCAGAAGGGAGGAAGATTTACTTGGGCTGCTCTGAAATGAAGGGAACCATGAAACGCGGATGGCATTTTGTCCCAATTCTCATCGCGAGAACCGATGTGTGCTCACGCGATTATTTCAAAATGCCGTGACTACTGACCGTCGAGGGATTCGGGGTGTTACAAGAAGTGATGGGGTCTCTCATAAGATATTTACTTACACTCATCACTCTTTACGAAGAAAAATCGCGGCGAAACCTAGACTTGCCCGCAACCAAATTGGAAACCAAATCAATTGAGCGCTCGATGTTGAAAGTCAGCAAAAGGATACTTGCACTCGACAAAACAAAAGAATCGGGCCCTAACCAGGGATCGAACCTGGGACCTCTCCCATGCGTGCCGACAACCGTCAACCCTAAGGGAGAATCATACCGCTAGACCATCAGGGCAGTTTAGCCAGACATCTGACTGTTGCTGAGGACGCCAAATTTGCTGGCTATCATCTCTCTATTCCCCCTCTGCAATTCTGATCATCGGTTTGACAATTCAAGTCGCACCTCCAGCGCGCTCGCTGATCATCTCGTCTCCCCCAATAGCGCAAATTGACGCCGCAGCGGCGCTTGCACAGAGCGCTCTGCGCCAGTCATCCAATGCCAAGATCAGCAATTCTAGAACGCCTCCTAGGCCCCCGTCCGGCCAGCAATAGTTTCTGGATCCCGCAAATCACCCCAAATTAAACCAGCAAAAAAACAAAAGAAGCATCCGCCCCATCCAAGCATCCAAGCAACGCTGCTGAGCCTCTCGATCCAGCGGGTGATCGCTCAATGCAGCGAAGAGTGATCTTCAGGAACGGGCATTTCCCGCCTTAGTGCGCCTGCGTTCCTCCTGCCCTGCCGGGGCAACAAGCCCGGCCGCGTGCCATTGATAGGTAGCTAATGCTGCGCTGAACATGGCGTTCCCTGGCACATGCACTACGGGCGGATGGGCGAGATGGCAAAGCACAATAAAAACAGAAACGCTATTCTTAGAGGCAAACAAATCAATCAATCAATTCAATCAATCATCCAGGCCCTATCATCCGCTATCCGGGTGCATCCCACATGCAGCTACCGGTACGCCATAGCCCAGATGCGGCCTCTCAAATTCTTGTGTGTGTTTTCTGTTTCTCACGCAGCCTCAATGTTTGTTTGCCAGATTCTTCTTTTTTCGTCAGGTCGTCTGAACTTTTTGTTTCTTGCGGTAAACAGCAATAAGCTTGTCCAGCGCTTGTGCGATACAACCCCCCGTGCCCCCTAAAGTCCCCCCAGGCGTTCGTTCGCAAGCCTAAAAAGACCAGACGGTTTTAAGGAGTCAAGGGCCTCCGTCGAGGGAGAAACATGGCAAAACCACCGTTCCCTGAGACCGACAGTAGCTCCGCTTCCTTGCCCTGACGAGGCCTATGACGCGTTCGGGGATCGCCACTGGTCTCTGCTTCCTCTTCCTCCTCCTTCTCCTGCACCGCCTAGTGGGGAATTCGACGTATCGCTGAATTACCTGCCAGCTTGGTAAGAAGGGGGAATTGGAAGAACCAGCAAAGGGCGAGCAGAAAAGTGGTGATTGTGTGCCCACACCCGGGTGGGACCGGCCCTCCGTACCCGTCGCCTCTGCCCTGGAACCAGCTGGGAGCAGATCCAAAAGCCTCGCCCCCTTTCGCCAGCCCAGTTGCCAGTGCCAGCGAACCCCCGGCCGCGTACGGGCCGTTGAGCGGCAGCGGCACCTGGGATCGGATCATGGGGGCCGGTCGGGAGAGGCAGATGGGATGGAGCTGGCATGAAAACGGAGCACACCGCAGCGAGTACGAAGCTCAGTAAATGAGCTGCGAGGCGCTGCCGTGATGTTCGTCAAGCATGTTGGCGGTATAATAAAGTAAACGAGGAGCAATACCGAGATGGGTTTGATGGGATACCCCCATGTGTCCAGTGCCTAGACAGCAACGCTGTATGCCAGGTGGACTTCACATGGTTGACCGCCTTGATTGATGGATTGGCTTAATCTCCAGAACCCAATGCAGCAGCAAGCAGCTTCTCAACAAAGCGTCCGTCACTGGGCTGTCATCCGGTTTCCCCATCGGACGATTTGACTGTGTTCATGCTGGCTTGCATGAGTGAGTGCAAGTAACTCGGTCGGATGGCTTCGGTATTCCGTCGTGGACAGTCCTCTCGCGGGGCTCGAGAGGGGTATTTCGGGGGCTAGAATATGCATGCTGACAACATGTTGATGATTGATTTGACAGTGAGGAGGTGTCCAAGCTGGCGAGAACGAGCCCTCCATCAAGGCTGTTTGTGAGACAACGTCATGGAGGGCGAACAGTGACGACGAAGGCCTTCGACTTTGGGAAGCCGGGTGTGTGGTTGCGGTTGTGCTTGACGGGTTCCGTGGTGAGAGATTTAACTTTATGCAACCTCGGGACGTGTGTGCCTCCACCGGATCTCCACCGTAAGCTTGGAAGGGGCGTTGTTTTTTGTGAGAATTTTCTTCCTGTGAAGGACTTTTTTGAGAAACCTGAATCGTCGACGAGTTCTTTTTTTCTCGTTCGTGTGTGTCACTGCGGTACGGCAACGGAACGGGATCACCAGCGAAACCCACTGACGGTTGGTGGATGCCCTACCTCACGTTAGGTCGAGTTTGTGTAGCTTCGAGAGCCAGAGAGGTTGTGTGAGTGGTGAGCGTCAGTGTGTGAGTGTGTCACTGCTGGTGCTGTACCCATATGCGTGAGTTGTTCCTGAGCGGCGTCCAACAAGAGTTCGCCGTTGCAGGTCCAATTCCGGGTCCAAGTCCCCAATCCAAGGTTCCAGACCCCCCGTGGCTGCTCTTCCCACGCTTCCCCCTCACGACAACACGCGCCAACGAGCGGGTGTACCTGGCGGCGGCGCCTGCTGCCGGCATTTGCTTGGGATCCACGGGGCGGACTGGACTCTCACTGGACGCAATTGGAGCCGACGGGCCTTGACGGGTTCAATGTTGTGTGTTCCATTCGTCCAGCGCGGTGTTTACCTGCACTAATGCCAGGTACATCGCTCCCAGTATGTACGGCCAGAGCTAGACATTGCTTCGTTGCGCACAAACTTCAACAGCCGCCAAAGTACCTTTTTTCCCAGTGCTGCACGACTGACGCAGGGCCAACGCGTGGTTTTTTTTGCTTGTGTGAGTTCCTCGTTGGCGCCCGGATCGTCATGCTGCTCTTCTCCATCCGAAGTCCATCCATCCATTCACACACACAAACTGGACCGGTACATACATACATCCAGGTTCTGGTTGTGTGTCCAACTTTTCAGTTCCCAAGATGCCAATTGGCAGGCCACTGCACGAATAGGCGGTATTACAGAGTCGCAGTAATCTGTTTCCCAAAGGCGCCCAGCTGGGAAATGCCCGGGGAGCAGCTTGGACTCGATCCGTGGCCAAGCTTTGGCGTGCGGTGAAATTACCTTCCCCACCCCCTTTTCCCGCATCACCGTCAACACACCGTCCAATCCTGCGCCTGGCCCTGGGCGTCCGGCGGTGCACCCTCCCTCCTCCATGATCCATCCCAGAGTCCCAGCTGGTCACTTTGTCACTCTCCACCATTGACTGTCACCTCCTCTCTCTGTCTTCTCGGCTGGAACAACTGGGAGGAGAGCTGGACCGCCCATTGGAACATCTCCACATTACACCCCTCCCTCCCCTGTGGCCCCGTGTGTCTTGGTTCCGCGGTGCGTGTGTGTGTCGCCCTCACCTTCTCAAGCCCTGGAACCAAAAAAGACGCCCACCACGTCGGCTGGCCCTCCTCTCGGTCATGACTTCCTGGGCCCGCCTTGCCTCTTTAGGAGTCTGTTCCTGACTAGACAGGGTTATCGACGAGCCGTGATGGGCTGTTGGACGGCGCACGATAGAGCTGGACGCGCCTCCTTGGTGACGACGCCCCTGTCGATGCGCCTGTCCACCCCTGTCCGCCCATGTTGCTCGTTAACACCCACATCCAAGGAGGAACATGGACGGGGGGCCGCCAGGGACAGCCAGACTCAGAGTGCGCTGCGATCTAATGAGATTTGTTTCCTTCCCTTCAAAATGGGCCTCACCTCCCTCCCTTTTTCACTCTGCCCCCATCCCGGTTTCCCTCCTTGCTTCACGCTCCCTCTCCTTCAACCACCATCGTCCACAACTCCGCGAGTCAAATCGCTGTCACTCTTTTCGGACGGGTATCAAAAGCAAAAAATCCAAGCCAAGCCAATTTTACCTTCCCAATACATACTATCTAGCGTTCACGAGTTGACGACTCTTCTTCTCACGACGACATCCTCCCGAAACACGCAACCGTAAAAACATCCTTCAAGATGCAGCTCATCAACAACCTCGTCCTCCTCGCGGCCGCCGCCTCCGCCCACCCCTCCCTCCACGGCCACCAGCACTTCCACGAGCGCCGCACCGTCGACGCCGTCCAGGAGCGCGACGCGACCTTCATCAAGAACGTCGCCCCCGCCGCGTCCTCCACCACCTCCTCCGCCGCCCCTGCCGCCACCTCCTCCGGCTCCTCCTCCGGCACCGGCGTCTACACCCCCTTCTGCTCCGGCAAGACCAAGCGCGCCACCATCGAGCAGATCGCCTACTCCGGCAACACCGGCGCCGACGGCGACTGGGGCTGCAACATGCAGATCATCGACGAGAACGCCCTGAGCCTGTACAACTACACCACCACCTTCACCTCCTCCAAGGACAGCTTCACCTGCTCCTGCTTCAACAAGATCGGCCCCAAGGGCCTGATCGACGGCGCCTGGTTCGCCGCCATCACCTTCACCGTCAAGGAGGGCGCCGACAAGCACGTCGCCTTCGAGGCCGACTCCCAGGGCTCCTGCGCTTGCGGCCCCGGCTCCGAGGTCCCCAAGACCTTCATCGGCCAGTTCGCCGGCACCTGGCTCGAGTTCGACTGGGGTTCCACCCCCAACGGCGGCAACTCCGGCGCTGATGCCTCCGTCCTCGTCGCTGCTGCTTCCAGCATGAGCTACTACGGCATGAAGGTCGTCGCCAACGACAAGACCTGCTCGTGGGTCAAGTCCGACGGCACCAACGAGGGCGCCTACATGTCCGGCATGGAGGCCGAGGACGGTGTCGGCTGCAAGGGCTACTACACCGGCCACCTCGACGTCACCCTCGGCGACAACTTCTCCACCAACTAAGAGACTTGACAAATGTCTGTGGCATTTTGATCGGTTTCTAGCGGTTCCGTGACGAGGGTTTTTGAAAAACATTCAATTGGATTGCGGTTTTTCGTCGGGGGGAAAGGAGGAGGTATTCCCTCATCTCTCAATTTAACCCGCCACGATAAAACGGAAGCCCTCGGCCACAACAATCTTCTGCTTTATATATGTACAGCTTGACGGCGCAATTGGGAAACAACGGGAATACCTCATTCTTTTTTCTCTCGGGGCTCTTTTTGGTCCGGCGCGGCCTCCTTTTGAATATCTGTATTCCACGGCCCGCCGCCAAATTTTGTTTTGGACATTTGGCAGATATCCTGGATATGGGAGAAAATATCTGGAAACATCACTGTTGGTCTCGAGCCGGGGGGCTAGCAAAGGGACGCCTTACATGAATGTTTAGTTCCCTCCCCCCTTTCTCGGACTAAGCCCTACATATACCTAGTGTCTGCTTCTTAATGCGACATAAAACTCATCCTTTAAAATATGGTTCCTCAGTGATGTGATGTAAATGAATTGATGTTTGTCAGTGGCGCTGTGCCGTTCATCCCGTGTATTCGTCTCAAGTGAGATGACAGCGGGGTGAGAACAAGCTTCATATGTGTTTCGGCCGGGACAAGGGCTGCACGTGGCTGTGAAGCTCAACACTTATACTCTTGCTGTCTGTCACTGACGACTCGTGCTGTGAGGAGGCCTTCAGCTTACATCTATGATTGATTTCTTTTGAGGTAAAAAGCTGATATGCTAACGCCAAAGTCAGCTTTCTATGATGCTATTCTCAATGAACTCCCAAGGCCAGTACGCACACGCTCCCATTTATCTTTGTCCAGTTCACTATCGCCATGTCCAGTTCATTATCATCATGTCCAAATTCCTTTCCTTCTCCAATATCCATCCCATTCAAAAAATCTCATCGTCATCTTCTCCAATGCGCAGATCGCTCATATCAAACTTGGCACCCAACTTAGCACGCGCCTTGCTACTGCGGTGTGCCTCAGACTGGGCGGCTCTGCTTGAGCTAGCAACAGCAGCACCCTGCGAGCCCTCCTGAGATTCACTCTCAACAGTAGCAGTCGTGTTATCCGTCGTATTCTCAGTAGAAACGGCCTCATCCCGCGCGCTCTGAAGGAGTCGTCGCTGCTGAGGAGGGGAAGGAGACCCATCTGAGTGCATCGTAAGGTCCTTGAATGGCTTGCTCTTCACCTCTCCATCCTTCTCCACCAACTTCCTCGGCGCGCGGTTGGTCGTCTTGACAGGGCTGAGGTGCAGTGTCGAAGGCGTCTCGAGGGCCTCATCGTCATCCTGTACAGGCTGGATTGTGACTCCAGGGGGCGGCAAGCTTCTCCTCGTAGGCGATCTTCCACGCTGCTCCTCCACATCATCCTCAAACCTCACCTCCTTCCCCTTTCCCTTAATGGACGACCGCCTTCGCTCCGGCTGCTGCTGCTCCTCCCCCTCGCTCACCCTCCTATTCGCCTTGAAGAAATGCCCAATACTAAGCGGCTGATGCTGTCCCACCTCATGGTCACACGGGCACCCCGCTACACGGCACGGGTGGTAAATGCACATCCCCATCTTCCTCCGTCTCTTCTCCTCCTTCTTCTGCCGCCTCTCCGCCTCCTGCGCCGCCAGCTCCGCCTCCCGCGCGCGCTGGTTCACCGCCGCGCTCGTCGAAACGTACAGCAAATACGAAAGCACGCGCACCCGCGTCCCGCACGGCGTGACCACCAGCACGGTATCCCCCTCGCCGTCCGTCTCCCACAGGTCCGGGACGAAGTACACCCGGTGCTGGCGGAACACGCAGTCGGCCGTCGTGACGTTGAGGGTGTGCGCCAGGTCGGCGGGCATCTCCGCGGCTTCGCCCCAGGAGACCGGGATCCAGGCGGCGTCGTTGGGCTGCGCGTTCGGGATGGGCGCGGGAGGGAGGCGGGCGGATGCCGGCGGGGCGTAGGATGTGGGCGAGGCGAGGTAGTCGGAGAGGAAGTTGGCGACGACGGGGGTGGTGGTGGGGTTGCGGCGCGGGGCGGTGTGGCCCCAGCCGAAGGGGGAGTCGGCGCCGGGGAGGGTGAGGCGCTGGCCGGAGTGCGGGTTGGAGGAGGACCAGTCGGAGAAGTAGGCGGAGGAGGAGGGGTTGGTGGCGGATGCGTAGTCTTCGGAAGAGTAGTATTCTTCCTCGTCGTAGTCGTCGTCCTCGGTTTGGGCGGTCGTGGGCTGGATGCGAGGGGCTGGCATTGGAGTATGAGGTCTGGGTACGGTTCGAGCTGGGAGCTGCTGGGCGTGGGTTCCGCGTGTGGTGGGAGCAGCATATGTGACGCGGCCGCGGCCTCGAGGGGCGACGGGGGCAGCAGCCGGCACTGAGGAAGTTGTTGCGAGGGCCATGGCTCCTTGACCGGACTGGTTGGTGACTTGAGGGCTAGGTTGCAGTCCGTATCGCATCCGCGAGGGTCCACCTCTCGGACGAGACGGCCAGAGTCCTCCTGAGTTCGTAGATGGACGTCCCGGGACAGCTGCCGTGCTGGTGTCAGGATAATTGTTAATGCTGAGGGTGTTGGTAGGGACTCCTGCCCCGAAGGCGGGAGGAGGACGCCGCAAGTTTGACGAGCTGGGCCGAGGAGGAGCTTCCAGCAATGCCGGGTATCCAGGGACGGCTGGCGACGGGTCGTAAAGGGGCTGAAAGGAGGCGCGGGGGATGCGGTAGACGCGGTCGCTGCGGCGGTGGACGTTCTCGGGGATCGGCTCCTGGGGGAAGTGGAGGACGAGGCAGTCGTAGCAGGTGACGTCCTCCGGGCCTTGGATGGCCATCCAGGGGCTGTCGCCGCAGGTGGCGAAAGGGAGCCCGTTGGAGACGACAGCGTGGCAGGGGTCTTGGATCTGGGGGAAGTGGACGGGAAAGCCGCAGCTGATGCAGAGCGATTGGGGGAGAAGTGTCCAGCACATCGTGAGGGTTGTTGGTTGTGGAGAAGAGAAGGAAGGTGGTGAAAAGTTTGCGGAGGTGAGGTGAAGGTGAAGTTGAGAGTAAGAGGGTGGAGATTGAGAAAGGTGAGGTTGAGATGGTGCCTAGAGCGTATTGCAGGCAATTAAGCAGAATAAAGTCGAAGTTCAGACGAGAAGGGTTGTGATGTCTCCGGTAGGTGTCTTCGGAGATGGAACAGGTTGAGAAAGGTGAAGAGATGGTGTCTGGAGAGTATTGCAGGCAATCAGCCAGAGTAAAGTAATTAAGACGAGAAGGTTGTCCAAATACGTCTGGAGACGGAAAGGTTAGGATGTGAAAGGGTGAAGTTGAGGACCTCAAGGTCAAGTGTAAGTCAAGTTGGGATGGAAGTCAGACCAAGTCAAGATGTCGTGGAAGTGAAGTTGAAGTTGCGATGTCGCCTGCCAGAAGCTGTTTGATGACGAGAGAAAAACAAGTCGAGGGTGAGATCGAGGTCTGTTTTATGTCAAAGTCGAGTCGGGGGAAAAGAAAGAAGCTCTGAGCTTTGTGTTGGTTCATGGCATTGTTCTTCGAGAGAACAACGACTTGACCAATGTGCAGGCATTGTCGCCTCCATGTTGATGTCCAGGCAAAGAAGAAGGGTAGCCTGTCAAGGCAGTCGTTCAAGGTCGATTTTCTTTGCGCTGGCCTTAAAGACAATAAAGCTACAACCAGGGTCTTTTCAAAGACATTGACGAACAACCTTTTGTAGCTTTTCAAAGTCAACGGGTAACAATTTTACTTTCTTAGGCCCTTAACATTATCTCTCGACTCGTGAAAGAAAGGCTTCGGCTGCCTCAGGAAGTCCGGCACAGGCATAGACAATGTTGTTGTTGCTCCCGTGAAGGTAGCTGGTCCTCAGAGAGAAAGACATCTCGCATCCGTTATCGTTGTCCTTCGAGATCGTCCATCCGCAATTTGGCGCAAACACAGAGAGGTTGCTAGCAGACATATTCAGACGGGTTGAGGTACTCACGACATCACCAAGGCCACGATAGGTTATAAAGTAAAATGCAGCGGCGTAAGCGGATACACATGTCGCAATTGAACTTCAATACCAATTGGATAAACAAGTCAAAGAAAGATAGTCGTGTCCGTGTGACGGTAAAAATTCGTAGAATCTAGGTCAAAATTGCAAAAAGTCGACGTTGGCCTGATTCGAACAGACGCTCCCGAAGGAACAAGATTTCTAGTCTTGCGCATTAGACCACTCTGCCACAACGCCAAGTGTGGAAAGCTGGAGGATCCCAGTTCCGTGACTGAGCGAGCGAATCGTGGGCCAATGTAGCGTGGCGAGCCCTTGCCGAAGCGAGTCAAGCCAAGGGTGAGCTAGTGGTGGGGCGGCAGTCCAACGACGACTCTGTGCTGACTTTGACAACCACGACACAAACTGACCAGAAGTATGAATTGACAGTTGTTGGCTTCTATGGAAAGGCTGGGAAACACGGACGAGATCGGGACTGGGATTGACGATGTGTCAAAGACGGCGCCGGCCCCGGGTCTCGATCCGACTGTGCTCACGGCGCTTAATGCTTGATTTCGAGATTATGGACAGATGCCCCAAGCAAGGCGGTACCCAATATCGCAAGTACGACCGATACAGTAAAACAAGTGAGACGGTCTATTCAAGCAGAAACAACATCTATGAAAAACAGAAAACCTACCGAGAAACACCCCAATACGCCACCCTATCGCGACGTGCTGCGCTGGCGCCGTCTACCCCTAGCATCCTCCTCCCGCATCTCCCGCTCCCGCGCCGCGCTCTCCGCAATCTCAACCGCTCTCCGTTCCCTCTCCGCGCGCTTCTCCGCATCCTCCTTCAGATGCTGCTCATGCGCCGCATCATAATCCGTCTCATCCTGCCCGCCCACCAGCGCAATCGCCAGCTCCCGCGTCGTCCCGCGCACATGGTCCACGACCTCCTTCTTCGCCTCCATCAGACACTTCACAAACGCCTGCACGCCCGCGTTCCCCATCGCCTCGGGGCCGAGGTGCCGGTAGATCGCCTGCTCGATCGCGCTCCACACCACGTCCGTCTTCACGCCCAAGCCCGCGATGACGTGGTGTACGCCCTCCCACATCATCGCGTGGCAGCGGCCGAGCAGCGCGCCGTGGGCGCATTGCGCTTGGTATTCGAGGTCGCGGATGTGCTTCTGCATCGCGTCGGAGTACTCGCCGCGCTTCTCGCGCTCGGCCTCCGCGGTGAGGTAGGCGAGGTCGCGGCGGTGGGTGCAGGACGGGCAGATCGCGGGGCGGCGGGCGTAGAAGTCGTCGCGGTTTACTTTGGAGGAGGTGACGGACTCGAAGCCGCCCCAGACGGCGCGGCAGTTGAACTGCGGCAGGCCGTTGAGGGAGTAGCCGCCGCACTCGTCGAGGTGCTCGTAGCGCGCCCAGTAGCCGTCGCAACCGCCTTGGGAGGGGGGGAAGCAGCGTTGGAGGGAGAAGACGCGCATGCACATTTTGAAGATGGGGGTGGGGGGAGGACTGACTTTTTGGTTTTTTGAGTTGAAGAGTTGGCGCTTGAGGAGCTGGCGGTTGTTGTATGGGATGTCTGTGGTGGTAAGTTGGTAATTGCTGTTGATGGCTGTGATTGCTTGATGATCTGGATACATTGATGGTGAGTTCTGGCATGGATTATAAATGTCCTCGACGAGACGTCGACAACTTGTTCCACGAGTGAACATCTCAAAAGATGGTGAACAGTCAAAGAGTTGTTATGTGCCTCGACTAAGAACTCTTAGTCGACGCTCAACAAGTCAATTGTGCGTCACAAAGGGGCTTTGAGGGTATTCACACCGAGCCGATGCGAACAAAAGGCCAGCGGTGGTGTTCATGCCGAACAAGAAGACCTCAAGAGCCATTGTTCCACATCCAGTCTGTGTCGAACCGGCTGGTAGGGCACAACTCATTGCCGTAAGCCACACTTGCAGCTTCTCACGAGAATGCATCATCAACAAAAGAGCTCTCGAAAGAGAAGCTCCAAGATACCGCAGGGGATATCCCTCCGCCGCCGCCAACCAACCGACCATCTGCCACCACTGAGCTCTGCACTCACAGCAACCCAAACCACCGGCCGTGGACTTTCACAAGAATAGCATCGTCAACTCTCCGAGATCCTTCATCCCAGGCACGCCTCGAAAGGCTGACGTCGGCATGTACCGAGAAACGCCCTCCCCTACGCAACACGTCGGGGGAAACGATCGGGCGCGTCGCGGGTAGATTGTTAGAGCGGACAACGGGCGCGGCTCCCGGGCCAAACGGCGCGCCCGCCGGCGGACGCCACTGGGATCTAGCAGCGAGACGAGGCGTTACAGCTGAGGAGTCCTGTGACGGATGCTTGTCTGACATGTCGTTGGCGGAGAGGTCCCCGAGGGCAAAGGGTCTTTTCTTCTTTTGCGGGGTGTCAGAGGATAGGCTGATGAACCCTTGCGTTGGAGCGTGACCTGGGGTCAGCATTGGGGAGGACGACGGGATGAGGCGCCGTTGGATGCTTGCAAAAGGATTCGATGCTTCCTTCCCACTCGGGACGATTCCGGCGGCTTGAGGGAAGTGTCGTCGGAAGGAGCCAGCCGCGGGTCGTCAGTGCGGGATGGACGAATTTGAGGTGCTTGGTGATTGATGCGATGGATGAGACGGAGGGGGGATGGCGAGACTCGGATGTCTCGCCATTGGGGGCAGACGGCGTTGATCAAGGGATGTGGGCTGTGGTTTTCAGCTGGCTTGGTATTCGTTGCTTTCTGGAGCGAGGCGGGTTGGGGATGATTGGAAGCGAATGTTGGGATGATGGCATGATCTGCAAGCTCCCGCTGCTGCGACGTGTAACGGATGGATGGCGGAAGGTTGAAGGTGGATGGATCTTGGGGAGGAGGGCCACAGTCCGCCTACAGTGTATTTGGAGAAACCTCCCGGTTCGAATCTTTGTGAGTCGTTTTACGCACACTGTGCAGACATCTCCATACCCAAGAGTGCCTCATCCATGCAATGTTGTGTCCCCGTCTGCAACCCCCACGATCCGGAGAAATAAAGGAGCAAGGCAGCGTCAGTCGTGGCTGGGACATACTCCAACCTCAATTCGAATGAAAATCCTGCATGGCAGGCAAGGAGGAAGGGGGCGTCATGAGACGTGCTGTTTTCGGTTTGGAACCACGACCAAGTATGTTGTTGTCTCTCTTTTTTTGCCCGTTTCATTTCCCAGTTGCTCAGTGTATTTGCGATTTCAACGTGAACTGTGTGTGTTGTCCCTCAGGCTCTCTCTCTGTCTCTGCTCTAGTCTGAGTCCGGACATTTGTGCGTTCCAGAGTCAAATGCAGAAAAAAAGGTCCCGGGCAACTGGAAGCATCCAAAGTTTATGGCACGGCCGGTGAGCACGCGGTGAGCGTTGGGGTTTGAGACGGGAAGTTAGACGGTGCCGTTCACGTGGCAGAGGCAGAGGCAGAGATGGGAGCAGATGCATGCATCGGTTCGGGGAGGTTGAAGATGGGGGCCGCTGATATGGGTCCCGTCTTGTCAATGGATCCATGGATTTGGATGGAGACGCTGGGACGGACGGACATGTGGATGTGGATGTTCGTGGCCCAATCAGGCCCCAGTTAGATTGCATCGGAGCGTTTCTGATGTGATTGCGACCCGGGTTGCCAGGCAGAAGGAGGGGGAATGAAGGTGCACTGTCGAAGCAAGCGACGCTCATTGTCCCGTCGGTATCTGCCTATCTTTGATGAAATGGCCTTGGCTACTGGGCATTCAGGATGCAAAGTCCCCGAAGTCGTGCAGGATGCAGCCAGGTCAGGGGCCAACCCAAGGCAAGGCAAACCATATCTGTGCCTATTCATCAGCACCAGAGATAGACCCAACCGGCAGAATGCCTACCCTACGCTACACTAGCAGGACTCCCAACGATCCAAGATGACGCGACTGACACCCACTGACTGCAGGACGCCAGTCCGGGCGGCGGAATCGAGTCCTTGTAGTCCCTGTCCTTGGTCCTTTGGAACGGCCAGTACGTACTCTTTTTTTGAGTGAGGTGAGCGCCCGGTGTAAAGGGAAGGCACGCACGGCTAGCAGGTGCAGCTTCTGGGTTCCAGTCAGTTTGGGGGTCCCAGCAGCCGGTTGCCGCCAGCCCAGACAGAAACGACATGGGAGGCATGTGCCGGGTTGGACTGGACGGACAGCAGCAATTGGAAGGTGGGCAGCAATACCACTGGAATACCACCTTAAGGTACCTACCCAACACCAAATACCTAAGGTAAGGTAACCAACCCAAGTAAGGTAGGTAAGCAACCGGCTGCTGCCTTCCTTTTTTCTTTTCTTCCATCCAACTGCGACAACCTCCCATGACGAATGTCGCCCGCACTTCTTCTTCCATCTGACACCACCGCACCAACCCTCTCGCCCACCAAGCGCATACACACTCTCTTTCATCCCGAACAGACTGCCCTGAGCAAAACTATGACTGCGCCCCGGCCTGCAAGGAGATGATCGCGTCTCATACAGGAGGCTGAAGACTGATCTTCCCCGTTGACGTCGACTGCACGCCTAACACCAATAACCCACCCACTTACCTAACCTCTCTCGACTGCCAGCATAGCTTCTCGTCCGCGATATCCCTCGATTCCGACTCCGACTCTCCACCCTGTGCTCGTTTGAGCTACCTTCTCTCTCTCCCTCTCCCTCTTGTCTCTCTACCATTGCTTCCTGTCCTGCGACCACCCGCCACCCCTGCGCCCAGTGGATTGGATCACTTCTGGTCCATCCATCCACCCCGAACCCAATTCCGCCGCGATGCTTTCTCATCTGCGGTTCCATCGACGGGGGCAATCGAATCCCACTTCGCCCAACCCTGAGCAGTCTTCTGCGCCCGCCCCGTGGGACCCCTCGCTTCCCCAGAAGTCTCCCTTCGTTCAAGATGCCGCCTTAAGCCCAGACGCCCGGTCGCCTGCCGCCCCGACAAATTCCTCGCTGCCTCCAACACTGCCGCCCATCACCCGCGTCACATCCTCCGGCTCCGAGTCGCCCTCGCCTCTTGACAGACCCTCCGTCGACCCCAAGTTGACGTTGGAGACATATGCTCAGAAGCAGCAGCCTGCACCTCCCCCGGTGCGCTCTCCGAACAATTCGCAGTCTGGCTTCGTCGGTGGTGTCGCCTTGCGCAAGCAGCTCGACCAGCGTCAGCTCCTGCAGCTCCAGAAGCTCCAGCAGCAGCAACAACAACACGAACAACAACTACAACAACAAATGGCGGCGCTTTCGCCCGATCCGGCGGCCAATACTGCCTTCGACTATGCCAGCCACGAAACTCAATTCTCAAAGTCGAAGCCCGCACCGCCCCCGCCGATAAATACGGCCCCTCCAACGAGACCCCCACCACAACCCACGAAGTCCTCAAAACACAGCAGCTCCTTCGCGACGCCCACCGACCTGCACCAACATCATCTCAGCCCGAGTCAATCGCAGCCTCCCGCCCCGAACTATGCTGCGACCGGACGAAGACCCGCAGGAACGAGACTATCGAGCGAGCCAACTAACGTCCGAATGGCCAAGGACAGCGCCGAAGCCCCCAAGGGCAGGAAAGGCCTGCCTTTTCTGAAGAACCCAATGTCGACACTGCTTATGAGGAGGAAAACAAGCCAGAATGCGCCTGATCTGTCGCCCCTACCTCTTGGAGGGAACAGGCTGGGAGAGCCGTCCTACGACCCGCGCATTAGAGGCACACGAGTTCACGACTTCAGCGCCCCGCGAACGAGGAGAAGCGTCATGAACGACTCGTCTAACGCTGCGTCGGGCGCAAAGCCACAGCCTTCTATACCTGAAGAGAAGCTGGACTTGGGCAAGACTTCATCCAGGGAAAGCGCGGCACCATCTTCGTTCCAGGGTAGGAATATTAGCAGTGCTTCTGAATCTGGTCGGTCTGGCTCCGTCAGCGTCATCTCCCAGACAGTTGCAGGGTCAAGCAGCGTCGCATCCACAAAGGCAAGGAGTAGCATGAACCTCGACTCCAAGCCTCTGCCCGATGTCCCGCCCAAGGACTCGACGGCATCGTCGTCGCGGTCTGCTTCTGTTGTCTCAAAGAAGCCGTCCGTCAGCGCGGCATCCATTCTGTCCAAGACATTGCCCTCCACCAGAACGGGTCGCTCAAGAGGCGCCTCCCTGTCTGGTCAGGATGTGCTCTCCTCCGTGCCCCGTCACATGAAAAGTACGTCTTCTAGGTTCAGCTTCGATATGGTCGGTGCCGCAAAAGCGGAAAAGTTGCTCGAGGAACGCCACCGCCAGCGAGAGCTGGAGAGGAAAACGTCTGATCCTACTCCCAACCCGAACCGGGATTCCAGGTTCGACGATTTTGACGACGAGTTCGATTACGACGCTATGATGGACGACGATGGCATGGAGGAGGAGATACCCATGAGCAACGATTTCGACGACTACGAAGAGGAGTTTGACGCAGGTGGCACAGATCCCTTGGGCC